TCACTACATATTTTTCTTTATGTTTTTATTGTACCCTAATCACAGGAAATTGTGTAGGGATCCAAGATTTACACACAGATTCCGAACAATTCATTACTGAATTGCAATGGCTATTCAGGGGAGGTCATGTTTTGCAGTAAAAAAACTTCATGATTGAGGAAAAGGAAAACTACATGTTTTTGAAAACGGCCTGGGATTCAAATGCTGATATACTTCGGCATATTGTCTATGACAAAAAAAAAACAATACTGAAGAATGAGCATTCTATAAAGATGATCATTCAAAAAAGCAGTAAAACCTTTACTTAATTGTGTAAATGAGATCAGACCATTGATCATCCTCACTATGTCATTTATTGGTTGAAAGTATTAATCATAATTTTGTATGTTATTGGTTCATGGTGTGATCTACTACTAATGTATGATTTTATGAAAAACATGTTTTGTTAATCTAAGTCATATCTGGGTAGTGGGTAGGAATGGCAGCATAAATATATAGAAAAAAGGAGTTAGAGGGACATAGCTGGAAGCTGATCTGATGCAGTCCGTTTCCTAAGTAATTAGTCTCTTTATAACGACGGATCCCACATGGACCCATTTAAAAATACATAATGAAGACATACACAATACAACAAAATATATTTCAAACTTCATGGAAATGACAAATTTTAGACTATTGTCAAGAATTTTCATCAAAAATATTATTTTCAATGTAAATGGTTAGATAATGCCAGACATTTATACTGAATTATACATAGTATAGGACAGTATAAGAATTTATATCACCTTACAGAAGTAACATATGAGACTTTGAAAAGAAGTACTTTGGAAGATTTTGTTGTGAACTTTAATTTCAGGTACCTTATTGGGGCTGAAAAGTGATTCCTATTATTTAAAAAGTTTGTTTAAATGTTATTTATTGTTGTTCACTAGCCTAAAGTTTTTGTTGTTCACAGCAAATGTATGGCCTTCATTTTATATTACTCCTAATAGAGATCGTTATTAATCGGTGCGTTTTACATTATGTTGTGACTACATCTTTTAAAATGAGCTGGAGTTATCTTCACAAAAGGGGATAAATTGGCAAGTACATGAACTAGAGTTGTGTAATAAGGAGTAATTAGTTTTTACGCACATGTACTCCAAAGAAGTAAATATTTAGTGATTGTGATTATTCATTTCTTTAAATACTTTAAACAAAAGTGCAAGTACAAGCACAAATTATACGTTAAACATGATACATATAATAATAAAACATTCCATTTAACAATATACGTTATTTTATTTAAGAATTTTAGAACTCTCTAAAAATTTAACTTAAAATCTATTTTAAAGCAGCGCATTTAACATAAAACTATTTTAAGTAAAATTTTGAGGTCGTTCAAAAGAAAAGTAAAATTTTAAGGATTTCAGAGTTTTTTAACTCAAATATACCAATAATCATTGCATCCATCGTAAGTTAACTTTCAGACATTAACTATAAAAATATTGATTTAACTTTCGTAAAAAATAACTAAATTATGAAGTGAAAAGTTGGGTTTAATGCATCTATGCAGATCGTTTAAAAAAATTAAGAGTTATTGTGAATTTTAAATTTTCAGAAAATGTTTTTTCTAAAACATAATGTGTTTTTGGATAGATGATATCCATGCATGTATAATCGAAATCATTTTTTGCAAAAAAAATAAATAAATAAATAACTACTGTGGGAGTAAGATAGACATATCTGCCAGATTTGTAGATTGTCGATGCGGTGGATTTACAAATACGCCCGGTGGGTTTGTTTTAAGGGACATTTAATCGGTGAGATTGAGGTGTGTAGTAGAGAGAGTGTATTACTACCGTGTTTAACGAGATTTGAGCGGCGGACAAGGCTTTCATGGCGGAGGAGGACTGTCGTAGGTTGATTCATGGCTGCCGGCGACGCAGGTGATTACAGTGGCGGAGAATCGATGTCAGACCCGGGGTAGCGTGACCAAAAGTTGTCTGGCCGGTTGATTTGGAACGGAAGAAGTGGAGGGTTGGGCCGCTGGGGTGGGGGGGTTATGGCTGGCCGATTGATTTGTAATGGAAGAAAGGGATGATGAGTAGAAATGAAGGGTTGGATCTGGAGAGGGATTCTATGGACTTATGGAGTAATAAGGTGGGCTCTTGTGGTTGGGTTTAATATTGTTCCAACTCAATTTGTTCATGCAATCCATAGGTTGGGTTTAATATTAAAACAATAGATGGGCTTCTTATTCCAGGCCTGTTAATATATAATGTGTTTGTACATAGTATATGCTTGGGATATGTCCATAACACTTAGGGAGTGTTTGTAATTGCTTCAACTTTAAAAAAAATGGGTTTTTATAGTAATTTTGGGAAAACTGAGTAATAGTAAAAGTTGGTAGTGTTTAGAAAAAAAGTGATTCTGAAAAAGTAAAAGTTGGTAATGTTTGGTAAAATAAGTACTTTTTGTGTAATGGAAAAGCAGTTTAAAGCACCCTTCTACCTGCTTCCGGCTTTTATCTTTTAACTGATTAATTTAAGCAGAAGTTGTCATTTGAAAACACTCTTTTTAGCTTTTTTTAAGCCAAAAGCTGAAAAACGTTTTTTTCTTAAGCAACCACAAACACTCCTTCAGTAACTCACAAATGGAGGTAGTTTTATTTTTTTAGAATAAAAATTACGTTTATGCATTCGCCCCGTGCAGAGGATCTCAATTTACTTTTTACGAACGTTATGTTTAGAGATTATTGTTTCTTCTTATAGGAACAATAAACAATTTTGAATGACAAATTAATATCAAATATTAAAATTAATAAATCTATAATATCACGGTTATGATGACACATCCGTAATGAATCTTGAATTACTTTAGTCATTGAAAAATAAAAGGCAGAAAAAAGAGGGAAAAAATTTTGAATGTAAAATCTTTTTTTTTTCATTTTTATAATTAATTGCATATTCTACTTTTTCAGAATTCTGCATCATAGTGTTATATTATGTATGCTTTTATGTATTTTATTTATTTGAAAGTGTTTTAGTATTTATCCATTTTGATAGTTTTACTATTTTTATACTTCTATTTATATATTTTTAAAACGTGTATGTGTTTTTATAAAACACATTCAATTTTCTTAACTTTTTTTAAACAATTATTATAGCAGGTTAAAGTGGCTACATTATATATGTTTTAAATGTAAATATGGCTAAATGATATCATTACTTTTTTAATATATGGACTGAGTTGACATGTTTTAAATAGTAGAATATTCTATTTAAACATTTACCCATGGTGCTTGAGTATTTACACACTTTCACATATTTGCACACCCCCTGATTTGCCAATATACCCGGGCAATTCGTGTAAAAAATGCAATTCGTATTAATGCATAGTCACCATATTATTTGAGATGTTTATACTTAGACTAATTTCAATCTCAGATCAAACCAAACTTAAACAAACCAGGCCAGACCATACTTGGATATTAGATATATTAGAACCACCTATTTGAACATTTTCCCACAAATTTAGATTCAAGAATGACATAACATACTTTGACATATTTTACTCACATATTTGTGTAAAAATGAAATTCGTGTAAATTTATAGTCACATTTTTACTTAGTCATTATATATAATTTACCTTCAATTAATTTTTATAAACCTTTGATTTTCAAAAGGTGTTGCCGAAGATACCTCATGGGATGTACTCAATGCGACGATTAATTCATCATATTCGTGGTTCGAATGTACAGTCCTTCGTTTGACAAAAAATGTGCGCCTGTAGAACATGACTAACCCATCAGATTCTTACGATTTGAAGGTCTTTTCAGTTTGGATTGTCAACATTGGTGACAGTGTTGCGGGTGAAAGTGAATGGTCATGTTCGTATTACTATTTCTGAATATCTATTGATACGCACAGATGGAGATCCTATAGTTGCGATTGTTGAAAACATATTTCCAGAATATGTTAAATCTGCATGTGATATGATCAGCTGTTTGCGCGACTGTACAATTTTGGCACCGACACTGGATGTGGTTGAACCTGTTAATGACTATAAGACGGCTCTTAATGTTGTGAAGTTTCAAGAACATATCTTAGTTCTGACAGTGTTTCTAATGTAGATTCTACGACCGATCTAATGGCAGAACTACACACACCTAAGTTCTTGAATAGTATAAAATTGTCTGGTGTATTGAACAATGAGTTAACGTTATAGGCAGGGACCCCAATGATGCTTTAGTGAAATATCAATTATATTCAATGGGGTTGTATAACGGGACACGTCTTATTCTAACGAGGCTCAATGATCATGTTTTGGAGGGGAAAATTTTAACTGGTGTGAGTGCTGGATAAAAAGTATTAATTCCTAAAATGTCCTTGACGCCATTCGATGTCAGCTTGCCTTTCAAATTTCATAGGCGACAATATCCTGTTATGACTTCATATGTTATGACTATAAATAAAAGTCAATGTCAATTTTTTGTTCCATGTTGTTGAAAAACCCGGTATTTACCCACGGACAATTGTATGTTTCAGTATCAAGGGTTACCAATCGCTGTGGTTTGAAAATTCTAATTGTTGATGAAGATGAAGGAACAACTTACAAGACTCAGAATGTTGTATTCAAATAATTGTTCAACACTGTTTAGGTATACATTAAATGCATATTTACAATGTTATGGTTTCAATGTATTTGTTGGATGTTTTTTATCTTTTAAGTAATGTTTAGTACTCCCATTTTGACAATAATATTATAAGTGTGTTTCGTTTAATGATTTGATGTATATCAGTATTACATGAAGATAGATGTTGTCATCAATTGATAGTGTGATTTGAATTACTAAGCATACATAAATTTGAAAGAAAAATTCCCAAATCGTGCATCGCACGGGTGAGTTTACTAGTTAGATAGGAAACCTGACTCCTTTCTATTATATTAGAAAATCAATAAAATTATTTATTGCATTAGAAAGGAAAAATATCCCTCTCTGATTTTTAGCAAGGAAAATGTACACATACTTGACCCACTCTCTGCTATCCATCCGTTTTTCTACCTAAAACCTACTCCATTTAATTATACATTTACTCCATGTAACTCTCACCCATGAGTATTTGACTATAAAAAAAGTTGGCATGTTTACTTCCTCCGATCCACATCTCACTTCCGGATAGAATCAAAAGCTTATCTGCAAGTATTTGTTTGTGAGATGCACAATTATTGGAGTTCATGTTGGTCCTTCAATAAGGTTAGTTCAATTAATTTATTTACATCTTGTTTTTATACGGAGTAGTCCGTAACCGCTTCATGATTAATTTGAAAGGGGTCAGTTTATTTACCTTTTGTAAAATGTAATTTTTACGGAGTAGGATTTTATGTATTTATTTTGTCTTTTTTATACAATTTTATTTATTGTCCTCATTTTAAGCAAATAATAATTGTAGTACACTAATGATGTTTTCTTTTGGATTGAAATTCGCCTGTCTGATATGGTCTGATCTGATTAGGTCTGGTAAATGTTTGGTCTCTGTATATTTTATCACTATGGAAGTCTGGTTTGATATGATTTGGTCTGATTTGGTCTGGTCTGAGACTGAAAAAAAAAACATCCTAATAAAGCATATGTGTATATTAAAGTAGATAGTGCTATTTCATAGTAATTTTTGTCATTTTCAGTAGACGAAAATGTTATTGATTCATTTATATCATTTGTATTCACTATTATTCAAGATTAATTATTCTCTAATCTATTCTGTAATGAATTGTAACTATTACTGTATACTAATTTCCTTTGTATTATTAGAGTGCCTATTTATAATCAATGCCAACGTGTAATGCCTACGAGTATCATTTTTTAGGCATTGTGTTCATTAGTTGGTTTATATTGATAAAAAAGTAGACAATAGTACAGTGCATGAAGTTAAATTTATAAAATACTTATTACGGTAATCAACATTTTGAAATTGTAGTTGTAATTATAATCATAAAAAATCAATTAATGTTTTTTAATTCCAGGATTAAAATGGATTTGAGAAATGGACGTCTTTGGATGTATAATCGAGTCAAACCAGGAAGAAAGGGATTGATAGATGAATTTAAAGTTGGGGTAGAACAATTTGTGAACTTTGCTTGCACACAAGCAGTATTTGTTGAGAATGGTGTAATTAGATGCCCGTGTACCAAATGTAGAAATCAAAGCTACAAGAATCCTGAAGATGTAAAAGTCGACCTTTATAAATGGGGCTTCGAATCAAACTATTGGCACTGGACATGTCATGGGGAAGAGATCCCACATTTCACTCAAAGTGTGAATGATGTGTCACATATCGGGGATGAAGGGAATGACATGTACGAAACAATGGTACATGATAGTTTTGGGATGAGCTCAACACCTAATCATCAAAATGGAGAGTCTGAAGGGCCACATGAAAGTGCCCAGAAGTTTTATGACTTACTTGATTCTGCACGACAACCATTATGGTCAGGATGTACTACAGATACTGAATTATCATTTACATTGAAGATGATGAGTATAAAAGCATCATATAACATTGCACAGAAGGCAATGGATGAGATGTTAGATGCATGTAGTCGAGCAATGCCACAACCAAATAAAGTACCGTCCAATTTTTATCAAGCAGAGAAATTGGTCTCGAAACTTGGTCTCGGTCATGTGAAAATCGATTGTTGTATTAACGGTTGCATGTTGTATTACAAAGAGGATATTGAAATGGGAATGTGCAAATTTTGTGGTGAGCCACGGTACAAAGAAAGTACAATGAATGATAACATACCCACTCACGAGATGTATAAATGTTGGGTTTGTATCATATCAACACTCCTCAATCTAAAACTCTACAAGCTTTGCAGGTCTGATTTAGATTTTATTACTGCTTTAGCTTGAGCTTTGAAAGTTTTTCTTATCTTTTATGTAATATTATATGGGTCTCAATTTGATTTTAGAACAGATGGTTAGAACTACTAATGGTGGACAAACTGGGAACAACTCAAGGCAAATAACTTTGCCACCGCCTCTTAATACAGAACGCTTCTGGCTTCCACGTGATAGTAGACCATTCAACCCACCTCCACCAAATAATACAAGTTCTTCAAGCGGTTCTTTATCGAATCAACCAGAATCTCCAAATAGCACATCTACCTTGAGTGAGCCAAACCCATCTCCATGCTCAAATGTTAAGAAGGAGATTGTTCCTGAATGCAAAACTGGGTAACATAAAAAAGTATTTTTAATAAATTTTACTTCATATAAGTTGGATTGTAATGTTGATATTTTATATTTCTTGATGGCATTCTGAAATTTTTAATTGTCATATTTAATTCTACATGAAATGGTAAACACAGATGCCTATGAATTGTTTATTAATGCTGCAACAGATTCATTCCATGCTCAACGAACAGATATGTTATGCCATGCCTAAAGAAAAAATTTGACGAGCCAATTCTCTCTTATACTGAAGCTTCGCCCGAATTAAAAAATATTTGGCTGAATTTATTTAAGGTATTATGTCATATTTATAAACTTTCCTAATACATCAAGTAATTCAGCTACTCAATTTAAATTGTTTGAGAATGAAGCTTCAATGTTGTTGTTGTTCTTGTAAAATAACACTTGTAGGAAAGGTATACATGGAGGCCGGAACATAATTATCGCATCTGCAAAAACTTTAATAGTAAAGGTTCTGCCGGGTTATCACGTGCTTTGTCTGCTGTCCGAAAGTCAAAAAAACGGCCAAATTGGATAATTAAGTCACTATGGACTCAATTGCTTGTCAAATGGGGTGACATAAAGTACATACAAAAGTGTGAAACTAATCAGAAAAATAGAAATTCTGATGTTGGAATCACCTTGCACACAGGAGGATCTATTCCCCTTGCAGAACATTGTAGAAGATATGTAAGAATACCAATTATAAAAATTCAGTTTACTTATTTTTTATTAACATTAACTAACTTTTAAATGATTAGTCGAACTAAATTTGTATTTAAGAGGCAAATCATGGTGTGTCTGCAGAACCAGATAAGATGTTCTTCCAAACACACACGAAGAAAGAAGACGGTTCATTTGTGACCCCCAAAGCTCAGAAAGTCTATGTGAGTGTACTATAGCACTATACATATTTTATTAAATACATTATTATTAAATCTAGTATTGAGACCTATCATGATTATTTCAATAGCTTACAAATATGATGCAGATGTGTCCTATTGTTGTAATTTTCTAATAACCGTGTTACTGTTGTTTATTGTGATAACAACTAATGTAATTGTTTGGAATGGTTGTTCATTGCTGTTGGAGTACTAATCCATTTGGAGTGATATGGCAGGTATTAAATTTGTATCTACTATTTTTGTTTACTTCTTTGTCCCTCGTATAATTTATTTAGTGATCAATTTACATTACATTGTTCCCAATGGCAGTTTGTAGTCCTATACAAATATGCTTTTAATATTATATTTCATGTCTAGGAATCGTTTGAGGAACTGAAGTCAAAAGACACAAATGCTAATGCTAAAGAGTTGTTGGAGGCCGCTGGCGGACATACAAAGGGTGGAAGAGTATCAGGTTTTGATTCAGCTAGCGATTTCTACTTCCCAAGCACATCTACTTCTGAAGTTCCTTCACAGCAACCGTCATATGATGACACTGTATGGAAACACCGTTTGGCTGAAGTTGAAAGGTCCAACATTGAGCTTAGAGAATCAAACAAAGAGCTGATGGAGTTTAAGGAATCTGCATCAGTTACTATTGAAAAATTGCAACGCTCTATGAATATGCATCAACAATCAGCACAAGGTACCTTTACGAATATGTTTCCATCCCAAAGTATACATCACAGTTCCGTCATGGGTTTTCTTCCTCACCAGCAACCTAGCTACATTAATGTCCTTCCTCAACAACCTCAATTTGGGCCCTTCATGAGTATGCTAATGCCACAAACTTCACAAGGCTTCAATATGAAGAATAATGGCCCTAATCAGGAAGACAATGCATGCCAAGACGAGGAAGATGAACATGTTTAGTCTTTGTATTTCAAACCAAATATATGTTGTTTTTGTGATTCAGTATGTGCTTGTTAGTTGTTATTGTGTTGAATATTGACTTCATGATTATATTTTGGATTTCGTTGAGTTAAAATATGCAATTGCTATTGTTTACTGCTTATTTAGGTATAATTAAAAATTATGCATTTGAGAAGTGGTTTAACAGGGAACTGATTGGTTACATATACGGAGTATATATAACCATGTGTGCGTGTGTATTGATTTGATCTTTTAAAAGTTGACAGGAATAAAATTCCTTTCTAAATAATTGTTTGATAATACATTTTGTTATTAAACTTAGGTTGTTAGGCGCACCTTAGTTAGACCATTTTGACCTCCATTTTATTTCAACTAAATTTCTATTTGGACGGTAGAATTAGTCCATTAAAATTAGGAACTGAAAGAATATAATTGCATGCGTATTTCATTAAGCTCAATGGCTTATATACAAGAGTACAACCGTTACAAGAGTATAGTTAGGCTATCACTACAATACTAATTAGCTACAATTAAGGGGTAAACATTAGGCTAATGATGAGGCTAAATATATGCTTAACAAATATGACAAATATACATTGAATAGAATATATTCTCTATCACACCCCCTCAGTCGCAGCGGGAGGATTACGAATGCCAAGACTGTCACGGAAATCCTCAAAATATATACGTGGTAAGCCCTTTGTAAAAATATCTGCAATTTGATAGCGGGAGGGAACATGAAGAACACGTACTTCACCCTTGGCAACTTTTTCACGAACAAAATGAATGTCCATCTCAATGTGTTTGGTGCGTTGATGTTGCACCGGGTTGCCAGATAGATAAATGGCACTCACATTGTCACAATAAACCAAGGTAGCTTTCTGGATGGGACAATGTAACTCGAGTAATAAGTTTCTAATCCAACATGAGTCAGAAACTACGTTCGCAACCCCGCGGTACTCAGCTTCTGCACTAGAACGGGACAAGGTTGGTTGTCGTTTGGACGACCAAGAGACCAAATTGTCACCAAAAAATACACAATAACCAGAAGTAGATCGCCTGGTATCCGGGCATCCTCCCCAATCAGCATCAGTATAAGAAATTAATTTTGTGAGGGAAGATTTATAGAGGTGTAGTCCAAGCGATAGAGTACCTTGCAGATAGCGTAAAATGCGCTTAAGAGCATTCATATGCTCATCCCGAGGATCATGCATATGGAGACAAACCTGTTGAACGGCATAAGAAATATCTGGCCTAGTAAAAGTAAGATATTGTAGAGCACCGGCCAGACTTCGATACTTAGTAGGGTCCTCATAAGGAGTGTCTTGAGAGGCACTGAGCTTTGGTTTAGTGTCAACAGGTGTGTGACAGGAGCTGCAATTAGACATGCCTGCCCGTTCAAGAATTTGGGTGGCATATTGTGTTTGAGATAAGAACATACCGTGAGGAGTACTGGTGACACCAATGCCCAAAAAATAGCTCAAAGGACCAAGATCTTTCATAGCAAACTCGCTGCCCAAGAGAGTCAAAAAATGCTTCCGGAGTTGATTAGAAGAAGCTGTAAGAATAATATCATCAACGTATAAAAGAATATAAGCCATGTCTGAACCCTGTTGATAAATGAATAAGGAATGATCAGATTTAGCATGAGAAAAACCAATAGTGAATACAAAATCAGCAAACCGCTGATACCACGCCCTCGGAGCCTGTTTTAGGCCGTAAAGGGATTTCTTCAGTAGACACACATGGTCAGGATGCCCCTTGTCACGGAAACCCAGGGGCTGATGCATATAGACCGTTTCATTGAGATGCCCATGTAGGAAAGCATTCTTGACATCCAATTGATGGATGGACCAAGATTTGGAGAGAGCAATGCTAAGGACAATACGAATAGTGGCCGGTTTAACAACCGGGCTGAATGTCTCATCACAATCAATACCCTGCTGCTGAGTATTCCCATCACCTACAAGACGAGCTTTATAGCGCTCAAAAGAACCATCAGAATTCCGTTTATGCCGAAAAATCCACATAGATCTAATAACATTCACATCTTTAGGCCGAGGTACCAATTCCCACGTTTTATTATCAATTAAAGCATTAAATTCATCTAACATTGCAAGTTTCCAATTGGGGTCACGAATAGCACTTACACGGTCCTTGGGTATAGGAGATATGTGGGAGATGGATGTGGTGTGTAGACTGTGGGAGTATCTGGGATTTGGTTTGTAGATGCCATGTTTGGCTCTAGTGGTCATCGGATGGGAAATGGTAATAGGTTCGGCATTTTGAGAATGTTCTGGGCTTGGAATGAGGGCAGGTGTAGGCTGTGAAGAGACTAAACTAGGCTGGACAGAGCTGCTGGATGGGGCAGAATCTGGGGGTGGAATAGGCTGAACAATGCTACTGGACGGGGAAGAAGATGGGGCAGAGGATGACCCATTATAGGTAGGCTCCTCTCGGCCAACTGAAGAAGAAGTACTGTAATGGAAATGGTGGGAAATTGGGTGCACATCCAGAGGGTCATAGTCATGTGGTTGTGGTTTATGAAGTTTAGAAAATGGGAATTCGGTTTCAATAAATTTCACATGACGACAGATAATGATTTGCCCAGTTGACATGTTGTAGCATTTAAACCCACGGTGATTCTTAGCAGGACCAAGATACACACAAGGAGTGGAACGTGCTTGTAATTTGTGTATGGAAGTGGATGGGAAGAGGGGAAAACACAAGCAACCAAAAACATGTAAATCCGAATAAATGGGATCACATTGATAAAGAATTTGAGTAGGGGACTGAAAACCTAGGACTTTGGTGGGTAGAATGTTTAGAAGATACGTAGCCATTTCTAAAGCATGATGCCAAAAGGAGAGGGGAAGGGAGGCATGGGCAAGTAAAGTCCTAATGATGTTATTGATTGATTTAATGTGGCGTTCGGCTTTGCCATTTTGAGGAGAAGAATGAGGACAAGAAAGACGGAATAACATGCCATGGTTATCAAAGAATTCTTTAAAAGTGCTATTAATATATTCTGTGCCATTGTCACATTGAAACGTCTTAATATTACGTTCAAATTGAGTAGAGATAAGAGAATAAAAGGATTTAAAGAAATGTGGAACTTGGGATTTTTTTTAGATAGGGAAAGTCCATAGGAATTTGCTGTAATCATCAAGAAACAACACATAATATCTATGGCCAGACGAACTAATAATAGGAGATGTCCATAAATCGCTATGAATGATATCAAAAGGAAGAATAATATATGACATGGAATTATAAAAAGGCTTTTTAGAGTGTTTGCCAAGAGGACAAGAGGAACAATAAGTCATATGACTTTTATTACAATCAATGAACTTTAAATGTCTAAGAGATCTAAGAACAGCAGCGCCAGGATGTCCTAAGCGGTTGTGCCAAAGATCGGGAGATATAGCAGTGAGTGCAGAATGAGGGACAAATGACTTGACTGGACTGTTGGTGAACAGAGGGTATAAGTCACCGCTACTATCACATCTCAGGAGTATGGTTCCCGTCTGTAAATCATGAACAGAAAATCCGTGAGGATCAAATGTAATAGAAACCATATTATCGGTTGTGAATTTCCGGACAGAAATCAGATTTTTAATCAACTTGGGAGCATGTAGCACATTATTCAAGGTAAATGGGGGGAATGGAGAGGGTAAAGTAGTACTACCGTAACCAACAACTGGAATTAAATCACCACTTCCAACAACAATGTTATGATGTTTAATACCCGAATTGAAATAAGAGGAAAGAGCACCTTGATCTGCAGTCATATGTGAAGTTGCAACGGTGTCCATATAGTAATTCCCGTCTGGTTGAGTGAAGGAAAGAGCATGCATTGCTGCTTCAATATCAGTAGGCGTATAACTGACAGATGAACCCATAACATTGTAGGCTTGGGGAGGACGAGGGCCGAGAATACCCGGTGCAGCAGATCGTGGAGCCGGATGCGGAGCAGCAGCCCGTGGAGCCCAAGAAGCGGCTGGATAGGGGCATGGTGGTGGGACGGGCCAGTGAGAGAGCCAAGGAGCCCAAGAAGCCCAAGGTTGCTGCTGCCAGGGCTGCCCAGTGGGGAAAGAGATGGGTTGTTGGTTCATAGCGCCAAATGGTTTCCCGAACCCAGGTTTAGCACCTGTTTTCTTCGGCTTATTGTTTCGAGAATTAACACGAGAGGACCCAGAGTTGGTGGTGTGGTGTGGTGGACCGCCAGTGGAGGTCACAAGAGCTGCCTGTGCACGATTACTGGATCCGTTCTCCTTTGCCAGCCGATTTTTAATAGTGCGCTCAGCAAGCTTCAGTCGAGAGCGACAACTCTCAAACGGTGGAATTGGGTCCTGGTTTTGGATGAAATCAACGGTGCCAGAGTATGCTTCAGGGAGACCACCCGTTAGTTTAAGAACAAGGCGACTGTTCGGGATAGGAGCGTCAACATCTTCAAGACGACCGGCCAGAGTTTTGATATGGTTGCAGTAGCTATCAATTGACGAGAAATTCTCGAAATTAAGATCAGCCAATTCTTCTTCAAGGTGTGTTGCTCGGGAAACTTTATTGTCTTGGAACAAGGATTCAAGACGAGCCCAAGATGCCTGAGCGGTGTCGTCTTTCTGAAGGATAGCAAGAAGAAGGTTGTTGGATATAGTCCCGTATATCCATTGCAAAACCGCAGCATCAAGACGCTTCCAGAGAGAAAGATCGGCAGCCTTTGATTGTTCATAGGTGGCGATTTCGTCTGGTTTGACGGGAGGGATGATGTGCTCATAGACATCATGAACCCTAACAAGAACTTTGAATAAAGCAGCCCAGGAGTGATACATGCTGTTCTCTGTATCCAACTCGATGATTACAGCAAATTCCTATGGACTTTCCCTATCTCAAAAAAATCCCAAGTTCCACATTTCTTTAAATCCTTTTATTCTCTTATCTCTACTCAATTTGAACGTAATATTAAGACGTTTCAATGTGACAATGGCACAGAATATATTAATAGCACTTTTAAAGAATTCTTTGATAACCATGGCATGTTATTCCGTCTTTCTTGTCCTCATTCTTCTCCTCAAAACGGCAAAGCCGAACGCCACATTAAATCAATCAATAACATCATTAGGACTTTACTTGCCCATGCCTCCCTGCCCCTCTCCTTTTGGCATCATGCTTTAGAAATGGCTACGTATCTTCTAAACATTCTACCCACCAAAGTCCTAGGTTTTCAGTCCCCTACTCAAATTCTTTATCAATGTGATCCCATTTATTCGGATTTACATGTTTTTGGTTGCTTGTGTTTTCCCCTCTTCCCATCCACTTCCATACACAAATTACAAGCACGTTCCACTCCTTGTGTGTATCTTGGTCCTGCTAAGAATCACCGTCCAGCAGCCCGTGGAGCCCAAGAAGCGGCTGGATAGGGGCATGGTGGTGGGACGGGCCAGTGAGAGAGCCAGGGAGCCCAAGAAGCCCAAGGTTGCTGCTGCCAGGGCTGCCCAGTGGGGAAAGAGATGGGTTGTTGGTTCATAGCGCCAAATGGTTTCCCGAACCCAGGTTTAGCACCTGTTTTCTTCGGCTTATTGTTTCGAGAATTAACACGAGAGGATCCAGAGTTGGTGGTGTGGTGTGGTGGACCGCCAGTGGAGGTCACAAGAGCTGCCTGTGCACGATTACTGGATCCGTTCTCCTTTGCCAGCCGATTTTTAATAGTGCGCTCAGCAAGCTTCAGTCGAGAGCGACAACTCTCAAACGGTGGAATTGGGTCCTGGTTTTGGATGAAATCAACGGTGCCAGAGTATGCTTCAGGGAGACCACCCGTTAGTTTAAGAACAAGGCGACTGTTCGGGATAGGAGCGTCAACATCTTCAAGACGACCGGCCAGAGTTTTGATATGGTTGCAGTAGCTATCAATTGACGAGAAATTCTCGAAATTAAGATCAGCCAATTCTTCTTCAAGGTGTGTTGCTCGGGAAACTTTATTGTCTTGGAACAAGGATTCAAGACGAGCCCAAGATGCCTGAGCGGTGTCGTCTTTCTGAAGGATAGCAAGAAGAAGGTTGTTGGATATAGTCCCGTATATCCATTGCAAAACCGCAGCATCAAGACGCTTCCAGAGAGAGAGATCGGCAGCCTTTGATTGTTCATAGGTGGCGATTTCGTCTGGTTTGACGGGAGGGATGATGTGCTCATAGACATCATGAACCCTAACAAGAACTTTGAATAAAGCAGCCCAGGAGTGATACATGCCGTTCTCTGTATCCAACTCGATAGGGATGAGGGACTTGACGTTGGTGATTGTCAAGGCAGGATGGAATTTGGGATTAGACATGGTGCAGCGGAAGAGGTAAGGTCGAAGAGATTGAGGGCTGGTGTTAGGGAAAGAGAATAGGCCAAGATCGAAATTAGGCTGATACCATGAAAGAATATAATTGCCTGCGTATTTCATTAAGCTCAATGGCTTATATACAAGAGTACAACCGTTACAAGAGTATAGTTAGGCTATCACTACAATACTAATTAGCTACAATTAAGGGGTAAACATTAGGCTAATGATGAGGCTAAATATATGCTTAACAAATATGACAAATATACATTGAATAGAATATATTCTCTATCAGACGTTGGTGATTGTCAAGGCAGGATGGAATTTGGGATTAGACATGGTGCAGCGGAAGAGGTATGGTCGAAGAGATTGAGGGCTGGTGTTAGGGAAAGAGAATAGGCCAAGATCGAAATTAGGCTGATACCATGAAAGAATATAATTGCCTGCGTATTTCATTAAGCTCAATGGCTTATATACAAGAGTACAACCGTTACAAGAGTATAGTTAGGCTATCACTACAATACTAATTAGCTACAATTAAGGGGTAAACATTAGGCTAATGATGAGGCTAAATATATGCTTAACAAATATGACAAATATACATTGAATAGAATATATTCTCTATCAGGAACAAACCCCCATGACGTTGCCACGTCTAGTCTAGAGAAGTACGGGGTAATTTTTTGTGATGACTCAAAATTGCCCAATTTAAACTGAAGTACAAATAACATTTTTTATAAAATGGATCGAACGATTTTATATATAAATATTATACTATTTTTATTTCCTCTTCAATTTTGAAAAAAATATATTGAATTGAACAACTTTTTATTTTTATGATCTTTTATATGATACATATATTGAAAAATATATTTTTTTTATTATAAATATAGATTATTTTCGCTTTAATTTTTTTTATATCATATTTTATCTTTTTATCTTTCTTATTAGGAGATATTAATTTATAATTATACCACGAATAAAGAGGTTTTTAGTTGGATTATAATTTTCTAATATAGTCTGATTGAGTATGAATTGATCTAGTTTGATACGTTTAAGTTTGGTATAAACTGATCGGATTCGTTAGATAATCATTCTATGTGTTATACAAACATCGAAATCTGATCTTGTCTAGTCAATCTCTTTACGTCTAGTCTGGTATGAGATTGAAACAACTCTCATTAAATCATCCTCGGTAGTGTCACTAATATTTACGGAGTATATGATAATAGAATAAAGGACATATTCAATAAAAAGATGAATGAAAAAATGTATGTGACCACCCAAATATAAGTAACACTGTAATCGACAAACTTAATGAAACAGATCAAAACAAAAAATAGAAATACAGCTAGTGGGACAGATGAAGTGATTAATATAAATTGAGATAAGTAAATATCTCGTTAGTCTGAAAGTCAAGATTATTATTTTTAGATAATCTTCATATTCATCACCCATTATAAATTTATAATTTGCTACAAATATTTATATAGTAATTGTTTCATGGTAGTTAGAATTTGTATCATGATTCTATATGAAGATTTTGTTTATATTTAAAAGATAATCGTTTTATAAAAATAAAGTTAAAACAAAATTTAAGAAAATATGAAGACATATTTTAATTTAAAAAACATTGCAAGGAATTTGGTGTGCTACGTGCTGAGGCCTAAGATTATTTAAATATAGAATTTTTGGACTCCTAATTGTGTGTAATGGTAGTTTAAAAGGGGTATTAAAAATGGAAAAGTGGATGGAAGAGGTTAAGAGCCCGTTTGGTAGCACAAAAATCGGCTGTTTTGGCTGTTTTTGCTGAAATTTATGAAGTTCTGGCTGAAGTGACTGTTTTGGCTGATTCTGCAGATTCTAGAAAAAAATATTTTAAAAATATATTTTATTAATAAAATAAAGAAAAAATTACATGTAAAAATAGCTAAAATGGTCATCTACAGTAACTTCAGCCAATACAGCCAGAAAAGTAACTCCAACCATACTTTTTCTGCTTATTACCCAATTCAGCACACGAAATTAAAAATTACGTGTTTGGTGAAAAAGCTGGCTGATAAGCCTGATAAGCCGAAAAAAGGGGTCTCCAAACGGGTTCTGAATATAGAGGGTTGGTTAAGAGGAGTGGGAAAAGAAAAAGAAAGAAAAAAGAAGAGAATGGACGGTCCTCGGTTGCTTTTTGTGTGTGGATGATGTCATGCTGATGTCATCGTTGCATCATAATATCCCAAATTTTTTTAAACTTGTATAACATTTTTACTTTTTATCCAAATTTTTCAAAAAATATATCAAAATTCATAAATTTTTATGATCTTTCATATGATACCAATATGTAATATATTAAATGATTTTTTTTAAGTTTTAACTGATGAAGTTTTCTTGAACCTGGGAAAAACATGAAACACAATTTTTTAATTCATGGAGCCTTCACAAATAATTGAATATTCTATAAATGAACTTTACTTGAACTAAGATCATATTTTGTTAACCAAAAAAAAGTTAAAAATTTTAATTAAATTTATTTATTTTTACATCGAAATATGTATTTTTTATTTCATAATTATTCAGCGAAAAAATTAAAAGCAAAACATTACTTATAATAATTTAATTAATGTTTTGCTAAATTGATAGGTAAAAATATATGCTGAGTGTATTTTATTGACTATGCTGAAATGTAAGAAAATGGGAGTCTAAACACTGTTTTCATATCGACTGAGTCCATTTTTAACAATTTGGTCTCTTAGCCACGTGTAAGAGTGAGTTTGGGGGAGCTACGACGTTCTACCAGTGAGTTGAAATTTGAAACGGAGACAAATTTGTCCAACAATCAGCAAAAAAAGGTGCGCCAAGTGCGCCAAGGAGATCCGTCCCTGAATTAACGATGTAAAAAATTTTGAAAGGAAATATTTCCTCTCAAGTTATAATACAGTTGGTAGGGTAAGAATTCTGAAAGGAACCCATTTCCTAAGTAAAGGGTTTAGTACTCTGTGGTCCCTGGAGCATTAGAAAGGAATATAGGTAGGAAAATAATTTAGAGAGGGAGGTTTTACAAAGGAATGACATTCGTTTCCAAGTTCCTTGCTAACCAATTCAGAAAGGAATATTTGTAGTTTAGATAGAGTTTTATTTCCTTCCTAATAGCTCTCTTCCTAGTAGTGATTTGGGAAGGAAACATAAGGATTCCTATTTTGAAATTCCGAAGAGCTTTTACTTTCCGATTAATGATTGCTTCTTCAACACAGTTACATGGATGGAAGTTCACGGGTGGAGATTCACCGTTATTTCAGGGAGAAGATTGAACACTTGGCACATCTATGGAACAGCAAGAGTTGAACTTACGCCAAAAGCCAAACAGTTCCGGGGACCGCCGTAACATGCGGTGGGGCAAAGGCTATACTACAAGCTAACCATGTGATATACCTTTGTCCAATTAAGTTTTGTACAATTGTGCGGTGGTATCGAGTGTTATGAGATCATTTCATTCTATTGAATTGAAGTGCAGCCAAATAAAATCCAATTGCTAAAAACCGAAACCGAATATAGAAAACTGAATCTAATTGTAGTCGTTTGGTTCGTTTTGGTTTTCACCCTTCAAAACCGAACCAAATTAATTAAAATATGAAATTTTATTTTTTAATTGTTAAGCATTAATCCTGATATCATCAATAGTCTTTGACTTTCTTGTGCTAGAGAAATAATGCTTATGTTATATTTAATTCAGTTTAGTTTATAAATGCATTTACACATTCATTGCCTGTAATAATGTAATTATATTGATCTATTATGTATGTATGTACGTACGTACGTACGTACGTATGTATGTATGTATGTATGTATGTATGTATGTATGTATGTATGTATGTATGTATGTATGTATGTATGTATGTATGTATGTATGTATGTATGTATGTATGTATGTATGTTACAATTTGTTGCATGATGATAAATTTTTACTGGTTATTAGTAGTAATTAATTTTTATATTTATGTAAATTAAATTTTTTATATTGATAAAAACAAATAAGTATTCATCTCATCTATATCACATAGGATGTATATATTCATCATCTTTTTTCAAACTAGTCATATTTATTTTATTTGTTCTAGTATGCTTGCATTTTTATGTAATATGTTAGATCACTACAACCATCATCATCATCATCATCATCATCATCATCATCATCATCGTCATCACCACCACCACCACCATCACCCTCAGTGCAGCAAAGGCTCCCACCTACGGTAGGGTAAGGGGGGTCGGATGTACGCAGTCTTACCCGTGTACTAAAACACAAAGAGACTGTTTCCGAATGATCTATAGTGAAAATCACGTCGAAATAATAACAAGTTTTTAGCAAAAAAACGAAAACCCGAAATCGAACCAAAACAACCAATCAAATTGTGGTTCCAAATTTTGGAGTGTAAAACCAAACCAAACTTTTTACTTTGGTTCCGTATTTGGTTTTAGGTCAAACCGAATTGAAAAAACCGAACCCACCACTAATTGTAACAACACAAATTCTGTTTTGAGTAAAATGTATTTGTTCAAAGAAAAGATGAGATGTGTTCACAATTCACAAAATAATAAATAAAGAAATAAGGTAAGAAATTTATAGTTTTTTATTTTAATTTTAAAAATTGTTCAAAGAAAGTAATCATTTACAGGAAAAATTTACAGGAAAAATTTACCGGAAAAATTGACATCAATAATCTCAAATTCAACTAGTATTTTCAATATAATCACATAGTCATGTAATGTCCTAATATTTTCGCCTTTGCACACATCCCCTTTCTTTGGTTCCTGACTTATTGATGATGTACTATTTGAGAGCATTTGCCTTATTGAAAACATGAAACAAATAATTTCACTTAAAAGTCTTCTTTTTGTGTTTTTATTATTTAAGCGTCTTTTGCCATCTTGTTGTTATTTTAATTACTAGACGAAGTACCCGTGCGATGCACGGGATCTATCTAGAATTGAACAATGACTTAATTACTATTTTGAGAGCATTTGCCTTATTGAAAACATGAAACAAATAATTTCACTTAAAAGTCTTCTTTTTGTGTTTTTATTACTTAAGCGCCTTTTGCGATCTTGTTGTTATTTTAATTATTTCTTTGTTTATATATTTCTTTCTGCCGTATCAGAAAGCTTTTTTTTTGTACTATTTCCCCGGCCTAAATAGTTTCTTTATTTCTTCTTCTTTCTCATTTCTTTACTAAATAAAGAAGCTAGTCTATTTTTATCCTTAAACTCATATATATCCAGTCATATTTAAAGAAACCTATTATGTATTAGTCATAATTCATGGAAAAAATCTATCATCAATTTTAAAATTTTGGAACCAAACAAACAATTAAAGTTCATTTTTGGAAGAACTCGCCTCACAGTTGGATATTAAGACCATAAAACATACTTGTATGAATGTTTAGTTCATCTGTGTTTATAAGAGCATCTCCAATGGTAAAATGTGCACGGTGCACACGTGACATGAGAAATGGCCACATAAATATTAGTAAATAATTTCTTTCTCTTCTTATTTGAATGATTTTATACAATTTTGGTAAGTTTTTTCCACAATGTCAAGGAGACCGTCTAGATGTTGACATTGTTGTTGACATTGCAGGGAAAAACTTACCAAAATTGTATAAAATCATTCAAATAAGGAGTGAGATAATTTATATGCTAATATTTATGTGGCTATCACTCATGCCACATGTGCGCCGTGCACATTATAGCATTGGAGATGCTCTAAACTTCAGGGTATCACAATTCCATTATTATTTTTTGGGAAAGTTCCCGAAATGGGACTAAAAAGTTTGAAACTTCCAAAATAGGACTGCCATGTTTTTATTCCCAAAATAGGACTAATTACTGCCAAATTTGGAAAATACTGTCATGTTTGAAGTCTGGTACTGTCAAAACATGACAGTAATTAATCCTATTTTGGGAATAAAAACATGGAAGTCCTATTTTGGAATTTCAAAACTTTTTTAGTCACATTTTGGGTAATATCTCTTATTTTTTTTTATACTTTCCCTCTCTTTAGATTTTAGTAGGGGGGCCTAGGGTGTACTGGTGTAGCGTAAATAAGTTATGTTTGTATAATTGAAATTCGCAGAGAGAAAAGAAAACAATACTGGTAGTACTTGCACTAAAAATGATAAGATATCAAGATATTTGATAGGACCAAATAAGAAAATTTAATAGAGTTTAGGGAAAACTAGGCGTGGACCCGGTTCGGGCCGCCCGGCCCGGGACCGGCCCGGCCCGTCACTGTGCGGGCCCGGAACCGGCCCGGTTCTCGGGTCCGGGTCCGGTTCGGGCAGAGACCCGGTCGGGTTAGCGGGACCGGGCTCGGGTCCTGGTTTTGGAGGCCCGGCCCGGCCGGGTCGGGCCCGGGCCCGGGCCTAACAGTCCACTTTTTTTTTTTTTTGGATTGTTTTGGCTCAAACGGCTACCCCAAACGGCTATATAGCCGTTGGGTGTACCAGGGGGGGTCAGGGGGGTTTGGGTGGGGGGTGGGGTGGGGGTTAAAAAAAAAAACCTATAAATACTCCTAATTTTAAACATTTTTTCACACCTCTTCTCCAACTCTTCTAAATCCTACTCTCTACTCATCTCCATTCTCCAATTCTCCATATTCATCTTCTCTAATTCTCTTATTCTCCTTTATATTTTATTTTACTATTTAATACTTATACAATTATTATATCTACTTATATATTAATTATCTACTTATATATATTATTATCTACATATACTATATTGCTTATATTTCTTATCTACTTAATTTCTACTTATATCTCTTAATACATACATACATACTATATCTACTTAATATATACTTTATATAATAAAGTATTAAATATACTTTATAAACTATTATTATATACTTAATACATAATAATATCTACTTCTCTACTTATATTTTATATATACTTATTTTCCAATCTCCAATTCTCCATTATACTCTAATATTTAATTCTTATACAATTATTATATCCACTTAATACATACATTCTACATCTACTTAATATATATTTATATATTAAAGTATAAAATATAAGTGTATTACTCATCGTATAGTATAGTATACTTATATATTATATATTATAAACATTATATTATATATTACTTACTATAACTAGTATTATACTAGTTAATTAGTTAATTAGCATTCTTGTTACATTTTTCATTATACTAGTTAATTAGTTCATTACCATTATTGTAACATTTTTCATTATACTAGTTAATTACTTAATTAGCATTCTTGTTACATTTTTCATTATACTAATTAAAATACTTCACATTTTATTTAACTAGTTGTTAGTTTGTTACATTTGTCACTATACTAGTTAACTACTTAATTAGCATTGTTGTTACATTTTTACTTGTACTAGTTATTTACTTCAAAAGTTGCTATAATTTTAATTGTAGAGACACACATTAATTCTACTTTGCAAAAAATTAGTTTGAAGTATTAATTAAAATAGTTTTAATTAGTTGCATTAGTTTTGTATCCATTATTATATTTGTTGTGAATTAATATTTGTTACATTTTTTAGATGGAAGGTGGTAGATATTCGGTTGATTTGGGTAACCTCCAACGCAATCGAAGAAACGAGATTGGGAGGAAGAAATCCCGCAAAGGTAAAGAACTTGCCGGGTCTTCATCTCAAAGCCGAGATGATTTTGAAACGGGTTACCAAAGGCGAGATGGAGATGCGATGTCCGAAGAACAACTCCAACAAGAATTGGCCCGACATAATAACCGCTTTCTACAACAACAACAAATGCCGACGACCATTGACGAAGAGGAGCTTGAGGATGAAGATGCGGAGGAATTGGAACCGGAGACGGCCGAGGAGGAGGGTGCCGGCAGCCACGACGCCGACGCGCCTGCCTCATCCCAAACCGCCACCGGTAATAAAAAAAGTAAGTCTGAATTAATGCAAAATAATTTTGATAAATGGAAGGACCCACAAACTGGCTATTGGCACGCAACTTGCAAGTGGTGCAACAACAATTATAGTTTGGGAACCTCCGGCGGATACGGATCCGCCGCAAGGCATCTTAAGTCAAAGCACCCCGTGGAGTACGCAAAATTAGGCGGCGGAACGGGGAAGCAAACTCAAATATCGAGGTTTGCGAATTCTCAACCTTTTGGTAATTTCGCCTACAATGATGCACAAAATTTGACTGGTATGGCTAACTTAATTTGTGAAGAAAATTTGCCTTATTTGTTTTCTGAAAGTCTTGCTTTAAGAGATTATGCACAACGTAGTTTAAATCCTCAATTTAGAAATTATAGTCGCAAAACTGTTAAGAAAGAAATAATAAGGCTTTATAATGCGGAAAAGGAAAGGTTACAAAATTTTTTTGCAAACTTTGATGGGCGTGTTACTATTTGTTCTGACATATGGGAGGATGATTTTCATCATTTATATTATTTGGGTCTGACTGCACATTATATTGATGAGGATTGGAATATGCATAAACGTGTTCTTGCTTTTCGTGAATTTAATGATCGTCACACCGCTGAACATATTTATATTTTGATTGAGCGTATTTTAATTGAGTATAATTTGATTGATAAGGTGTTTGCTATTGGTTTCGATAATGCTACTAATAATACTGCTGCTATACCTAGATTGCGTGAGTTGTGTGGTGCCAATTCTTTGATGGGTAGATTTTTTCATCAACGGTGTGCATGTCATGTTATAAATTTATGTGTGCAAGACGGTTTAAAAGCGTTAGGAGATTCCATGGAGGTAATAAAGGGGGGGGGTTAGACGTATTTGGGGTAATGGTCAACTTAGATTAAAATGGCAAAGTTATTTGACTGAAAGAGGTGTGAGATATGTTGCTTTTCCTAAAGATTTGAGTATTCGTTGGAATAGTACTTATAAATTACTTAAAGTTGTTCTTAGATATAAAGAACATTTTCCTGCTTTTTTAAAAGAACATGATAACTATATTATAAACGCGGCTGAGATCGACACTTGCGAAAAAATTTGTAATGTTTTGATATATTTTTTTAATGCTACTGAAACTTTTAGTCATGTTTATAAACCTACCGCAAACCAATTTATTCCACAAGCTGTTAATCTCGCCGATGCTTTTAAAGAATTTCAAAATGCCGTTTTCGTTCATTATTTTTGTGATCATATGAAGGAAAAGTTTTTAAAATATTATGCGCATATTCCCCATATTTATGGTATTGCATTTATTCTCGATCCTCGTTATAGACTTGCTAATTTGGAAGATTGTTTCAACTTCTATTATCTTGCGTTTTTCGGTGAATTTCCAATGTATGAGGATAACCCCATAGATCCGAAAACGGAATACAACGAGGTTAGTACTTTATTTTATGCCTTATTTAATGAGTTTCGTGCACAATATAGCAACGCTCCCCCTCCCCCGTCACGAACATCTTCATCTAAAGGAAAATCGATTTTTAAATCTGCATTTGGCAATCTTATGAAAAAAACTAAAACAACTCACGTCACTGAACAAAGCGCATTGAATGAGATTACTTTGTATTTAACATATGAAGTTGATTTTGAAGAAAATGATGACTTTGACGTTCTAGACTGGTGGAAGTCAAAAGAAAGAACGTTCCCGATTTTAGCACGGATGGCTAAGCAAGTACTATCAATGCCGGTTTCAACAGTTGCGGTGGAACAAGAATTTAGTTCGGCCGGCAACGTCCTAACGGCATCTAGATCGAGATTGAGCGCGGAGTCTCTTGAGACGCTTATATGCTACCACGATTGGTTGAAGGCCGCACGTAGAACTCAAGAATTGAGCATCACCCCCTCCCAAGATTTTATGGATGACTCAACAACCGATGGTGGCTCTACCTATGCCGGAGATTCCGATTGATTAGTATTTTAGAATTTAGTACAAAATGTATTTTATAGCACTTGTCAAATTTATTTATACTTGTACTTCATATTTCAAAATTGTAAACTTGTACTTCATATTTCAAAATTGTAAATTTGTAGTTGTAGTTCAAATTAATTTGTAAACTTGTACTTCATATTTCAAATAAATATGTGTTCACTTTTTCATATGTAGCACTTCTCAAATTAATTAATTGGTTACAATCTAACGACTTAAAATTATTTTTCTAAAATATAAAGCCGGTTTTTAAATTAAAAATACATTTAGAATATGTAATTTGTTTAAATACTTATACACCTATTTTGTAACATTTGTTTTAGTTTTACTTAATTCATTAAATTAATTAATTTATTTTACAATATGTGTATAACTTAAAAAAAAAAAAAATTTCAAAGCTCCCAAACGGCTATATAGCCGTTGGGGCTATGGGTGGGGGGCAGGGGGGGTCCCGGGGGTGGTGGTGTGGGGAGTGGGGTTCAAAAACACCTATAAATACATCTATTTTCTAACATTTTTCTACACCTTCTCTCCAATTCTTCTCAAACTCTTCTCCATCTTTATCTTCTCTTATTATCCTACATTCCTACTTAATTACTTATAGTGTTATACATATACCATTTTAAATATGGAAAGTACATCTTCTCTTATGCAAAACAATTTTGACAAGTGGAAGGACCCGAAGACCGGACTGTGGTGGGCAACTTGCAGGTGGTGCAAGAAAGAGTGTTGCTTGGGGGGTTCATACGGATACGGGATGCCAATAAAACATATGAAGTCTTGTGACAAAGGGAAAACAACAACCAACGGTGGCGGAAATCCCAATTGATATTCATTACAAAATGTATTTCGTATTGTTATTTTTTTCTCAATTCTCAAATGTAGTTCTTATTTCAAATAAATGCACTTGAACTTTGTTTTTAATAGCAATTTGTATAATATATAATTAATATAAAAAAAAAAAAATTTATTGACCCGGCCCGGCCCGGCCCGGCGGGTGGCCCGACCCGTGACCCGGGCGGGTGACCCGGCCCGAACCGGAACCGGTCATTGACCGGGCCGGTCCCGGGCCTACCCTTATAGGACCCGAGGCCCGACCGGGCCTTGACCCGGCCCGGGCCCGACCCGGCCCGGGTCCATGCCTAGGGAAAACTATCAAATAAGCCCCGTACTATGCCGAAAAAGTTGATTAGACCCTCGTACTTCACAAACAATTAAGTTCTCAAATTATTAAAAAACGTTCAATTAAGCCCTTTTGGTCGATAAGTAACCGATTTCCCGGTTAAACGATGACGATGTGCTCGAACCCCAGCAACAGCGGCTGCCGGGAAACAGGTCACATTTAACCGGAAAACCGGTTACTTACCGACCAAAAGAGCTTAATTGAACATTTTTTTAATAGTTCGCCTGTTCGAGGACTTAATTGAGAGTTTGTAAAGTAGATGGCCTAATCGACTTTTTCGGTATAGTACGGGGTTTATTTGACAATTTTCCCTAGAGTTTAATACTCCGTAGTATGAATGCATGATATTCCATAGCTAGAAATGGCTACATAATTGACTCAAAATGAATTGATGATGCATCCTCTTAACCCAATATATGTGGCTGGAGTTCGGTTTAACGTGACCGTTCTCGGTTGGTATACAATCACATAAATAAAGTATAAAGGGAAGTTAATGTGAACAGAACAACCCCTCTAAATTAGATGCAAAAGGACCCACAACAATCACTACATGTTCAGTTTGTTGCATACATATATAAACTCTACTCCGTAATAAATAAGGAGTAGATAAGGAGTAGATAAAACAAGAACAGGAGAAACATAATCCATTCCATAAATCCAAACTGAGCTTACAATTTGAAAACAAAAAGGACCCACAAACAGAAACACACCCACCAAACAACATGGCTTCATATACAGCTAGCTGTAGGAGGACCCTGTTTGAAGATGAGAATGAAGAGAGAGCTCACTCTCCTTTGGAGAGGGCTCACATATTATGCCCATCTATTTATGGCTTCCACCCCATCTGATAGATACACACACTCATAAACTCAGCTGGAAAATACACAAATAAAGAACCTACTTTCGATTCTTTTCTTCTTTTAACAAAAAACTAAGAAGAGATAATGGCTGCCCTACCACCTTTTTCCCCTTTAAAATTAGAAAAAAAAGGAAGAACACACAGGCCATGCCACCACAATGGGCACACTTTGATCAAGAGTTAACCATACATGCACATTTTCTACATGACACATGTTTATTGCGTGGTGAAAAGTTGTCTCGCTTTCCATCATTGAATAAACACGTGTCATATAAGAATGTATAATATTAGATGCGGAAGTTGAGGCGCGAAGTATAAGTGGCTTTGGGAGCCCAATTGCGGGGAATAACGCCTCTTGCGGCGAGGGTTGCGCCGGTTGAGAGCGTTGTTATCTTTACAGAGAATGGTCCGCTCAAAGGCCACTGTCCACCATTGATTACCCAGTTTGCTCCCCATATGTGTTTCATCTCCAACCACTCTTCTGATCCTGCCTGCACCCAATATTACTCATTCATTCATTTCTAACCTGAGAGCATCATAAGTAATTCCTACTCTCATAAATTACTGCTGTAATTGAACTCAACTGTATCTCCTAATCATTCATTTATTCATCCCGGGGAACATATACAAGTATATTGAGATATAACGTGTTCCACTTCAAGAGAGGCTTGGATGCTGGGATTATTTTACGGTATATTACAACTTAGGCTATGTTTGGAAAGAAAATAAAAGATGACTATAACCAATGACGAAAATAAATCGATTTTGGCCTTGAATTTTGAAAACATCAATCAAAGACTTAAAATATCAAAGATTTTAATTTCTTGAATTTTTTATCATGACAATTTTGATAAATTTTCTTCACCAAAATTTTATGAAAAGCAAAAAGTTAAATAGTGCTTACATCTTATTAGAATATAAAAAATACAAATTCATGATAATCTCTAAGTCTTACATTAATCATGATTAACATATGTAAATCTGTGTGTGTATATCATGGGCAGAGGTTAGGGAAGACGATGCTACGCCCCTATGCACACCAAGTTTCAAAAAATGTGTGATACTTCGACTACTAGAGTAAAAAAACCATGTACTTCGTAGTATTCTTTGTACTCACCCAGTCCAATATATATTCCAGGTTACGTTATGCCCTTGGTATATATACATAAACTGATGTTATTAATTTATTAGTTACCTGTTGGATGTGCATGGATCCAATATCACCATCTCCATCCTCGAACTCAACCAAGAGGGATAGCCAATAACCCGTTGACCCCTCGTTCACACGAAAGGCAATATTCTTTCTTTGATACTTGCACGGTGTCCTGCATGCAACCTTCAATTTAGCTTCAACGTTTTTTTTTGAAGAAAATTTAGCTTCAACTTATTATACTACGTATGTAATATTATGAGAGTTACTTTGCCCAGTTCAATAAAACTCAGTATATTTATGTGTGAAAAATGATAACAATGATGGTGTGAAATGTAGGGGCGGATCCAGGAATCTGAGATGCCCTGGGCTGAGTAAGAATTATACTGGGCTTAAATATCAGAGGGGTGGACTAAATGTGAAAAATGACAAAAATTACACTAAAAAATTGAAAAATTTCTAAATTAACCGGGGTTCAGCCTACCATAGCCCGTACATAGATCCTCCCCTGGTGAAATGTGAATATCCACACTATACAATAACGTTACTGCTCAAACTACTGGGCAGCCAGGCTAGGAGAGCATTACTTTCCATGTGAAAAGGTGTGGTCAACGGTCATACACCTACTCTTAAATTTGCACAAAGTTACAAAGCAACCAAGTGACTAAAGAGAGATTTGTTTAGAAAAAAATTGACTAGGAGTGGACCATGTACACAGAAATTCCACACAATTAGCACGTAATGACGAAAATGCATCACGTGTTTCTAAGTCTCGCCGTTCGAGTTAATAATGCTAAATGAGAGGGAGATCCCCATCTAAAATACGGAGTAACCAAAATGTCAAATATAGGCAGACATAGCCCCCAACCCCACCCACCCACCCAACATCTGTCATACGTACACAATAAAAATTATAGTTATAGTGTTTGAAAAAAGCACTTTTGGAGATGTAAGGAGTGTTTGAGTTTGCTTAAAAAAAGTGTTTTTCAGCTTTTGGCTTAAAAGAAGTTGAAAAGAGTGTTTTCAAATGACAACGTCTGCTTAAATTAATCACTTAAAAGCTAAAAGCTGGAAGCAGGTAGAAGGGTGCTTTAAACTGCTTCTCACTTTTTCTATTACACAAAAAGTACTTATTTTACCAAACACTACCAACTTTTACTTTTCCAGAATCACTTTTTTCTCAAACACTACCGACTTTTACTATTAATCACTTTTCCCAAAATCACTTTAAAAAATCACTTTTTTAAAGTTGAAGCAATTGCAAACACTCCCGTAATGAAAAAGTGATTAGTAGTAAAAGTTGATAGTGTTTGAGAAAAAAGTGATTTTGAAAAGTAAAAGTTGATAGTGTTTGGTAAAATAAGTACTTTTTGTGTAATCAAAAAGGGAAAAACACTTTTCACACGCAAGCCGAGAAAAAGTAAAAATTGGAAGTGTTTGGTAAATAAGTGCTTTTTTAAGCCAAAAGCTGAGAAGTTTTTTTTTTTAAGCTATTGCAAACACTCCCTTAGTCGTAAGTTTCAGAAACCCAGTGAAATATTGGGAAATTATCTATTGGTGTTAGAGATTATCTATTTTGAAGTTTTGCTCATTATACTGATTATACTGATTTGTGAAAAAAATTAAAATATAATTTATTAATAAAATAAAGAAAAAATTATATGAAAAAATAGCGAAAATGATCCTCAACAGTAACTTCAGCCAATACAACTAACTTTTAATTTTACTTTTTCTTATTATAATACAATTCAGCCCGCGACATGGGTGGAGCTAGGGGTGGGCCAACCTAGGCCCAGTGCTCTCGCTCCGCCCCTGACCCGCGAAATCAAAAGTTACATGTTTGGTGAAAAAATTGACTTATAAAATTGAAAAGACAAAAATCATGGTCACCAAACGGGCTCTTTGTATACGAAGTAATTAGTTTTGTGTAAGATCTGGGGTATTCATGTTTCTCGTGCCACATGCCTTTTAGTAGATAAATAAACAACACATATGAATTAAATGTGCCGAATGCGTATGTAAATTTTTGCGTTCTTTATTTTTAAAATACTCCGTATGTGTTATTTTTAAGGAAAGAATGGTGGGAAAAATGAGCAAATACTCCGTATAAAACAAACTTTCAATCTCCAATAAACATTTACCGTGTAGTGATGTAAGCAAAACATATTGCAATAGAAATGTACTAAAAAAAGTTAGAATTACTCGCAGAAAGCATGACAAAAGGAAAAGACAGTCAAAAGTGTCAAAAGGAACTCCAAATAGAAAGACCGTTGACTAACCAATACCAAGCATTTTACGAGGTCACTTGGGAAAGTTTTTTCCTGCATAAATAAATACTTCCGTTTTTTAATTCTTGTAATATTGTGTTTTTTATTAATATACATAATATCAATGTGAATTAGTACGATTTAACACCATTTTTTACTTTGACTATCAATGTGGATTTCCAAAATATCAACTTTTTATAATGTTTACTAATGCATAATTATATATAATTACAGTCAAAATTGTGTATCGGCAAACGTGAAGGTCAAACTGTTGCAATAAACTGTGGATAGTAAAACATTAGTTGGCTAGTTGCTCAAAACTAAGTTCAAAACTAGGGCTAACTATATTTTACTCGCCACAAAGAGTTATTTAATCTTATTAAAAGAAAAAGTTGATTAAAACTTCCAAAACTTGAGGTGAATGAGTTTGATATTACAAATTAAACAAGGTAGATTCTATGGTACCCATAAGGTACCATACTTTTGTCCACATAGACCAATCAAGAATTCAGGATAATGAAATTGAATTATTTAAATCTAAATTAAAAAGAATATAATGATTTAGACCAATCAAATGCATGGCAGATACGATACCCCATTTTTTAAATGAGTACCAGAGTTGTCCCCATAAAACAATCGTAGTCTTAGTCCCATTAAGGAAATTTTCTCATAATAAAATGAACTCAGAATGCCATAGTATGAAATAATATGAGTATCGACGTACCGGCGGTAAATGATGGCCATCTCACCGCGGTCACGGAGGCTGTTGCCGTAGCCGCTGATGGCCATGCGGCCATACACGGCGCCACTAAGGTCAAAAAGCGGCCGGTCACTGTAACGCTGAGGAGCTTGGTCAGTGATAATTACCGTCACTGCCTTTCTCGAACAAATGGTACGGTCTAGACATTTCACCTTGTAGCAAGCGCCGCAACCTTCTCCTTCCTTGAACAGCGACGGACTCACCGCTCCCACCCTCGCCCTCAACGGCTGCACATCCACCATGGTCCCGTACCCGCATGCCCCTCCTGCTCTCCATCAAAATTTCCACATTCCAAATCAATTACACCGGAGTATATATATTAAAATACGAACTAATAAACTACTATTCAAGTTAAACTTTTAGCATGAATCTCGAATCTTAATATAACACTCTGTATCTCAGCCAAACTGTTCAATAATTATGGTGTGAGACTATGAAAAGTTATGAAAAGTGATGATGCTAATAAACACTTATATTAAAATCTCAAACTAGTCCTCCTGGTATTAAGTTAAATGAAGTCTTAACAATACTTTACTGCTATAATTGTAATTTCGAGCCTTGGATTTCACATTATAATGAGTCAGTTAACATTAACCACATTCCGTTTATACATTTAGTTTTAGTAATATTCGAGGTAAACTCACTTAAAAAAATCTGTACAAAATTGAAATGCAAACTCTAATTTAGAAAACAAAAACATGAAAACAAGGGCAAAATTCCAATTCTATTCTAAATTAATTAACAATTTTGTGTATCACTGAACCAGGTTGAGAAGTGTACCGTCACTGCCGTCTCCTTCGGCGCTTCCGTACCAAGTCGCGGCGGCGTGGTACCAGTTTGGGTCCTCGACATGGCGGAGGGAGCCGGCGGCAGCAAAGAAAGCAGAGGAGGAGACGACGAGCGCCACCGCGAAGAAGCCGCGACCATCCATAATGCGAACGGAAAATGAGGAAGTGAGTCGGAGACGGCGAGGGACTGATAGTGCCGACAGTGAGTCGGAAGTACGAACTGAGGCTGAGGAGACACAAGGCTCCGATGCCGTTATATAAAGGAACTGCGGAAAGCTTACTTGTGTGATCGTTCCAATTTCACCCATGCTGGGTTACTTTATTCACAACTATGCCACTGCTATTTACTCTGGGACCCGCCGTCAGTTAAGGCGTTAAATCCGCAAGACTGTTTCCGGCCCTCTGAGCTCGAGTGCTACAACTGTCGATGGTGAATGTCATCCGGGTCATTTCACAAAAAATGTACTCCTAAAATTCTCAAATGTCCCATTTTGATGCTGTGTTAGGGACTTAGGGTATGCTTATATCTTTCTCTTCTTTTACACTTTCAGCTCGTATGGTAGCATGAAAATATACCTAACAATACACTTTGAATAGCTCCAATTGAGCTTCATGGAAGCTGAATTAAACGTTATTTGAAAACTGAAATTAAAAAGTTGGATTAAGTTTAATGAGGTTTTGTCCCGTAAATCCGAAAGCCCAACACACGCTTGGGATATTTAAGGATCTTGGTCTTGGTATCAAAAAGGTGTATAAATATAAAAGAGTGAAATCAAGATCTATCTCAGAAGCTAATCCTTATCCTTATACTTAATAGCAATACAAATCAATCTTAGCGGTTCACTAGATCAATCTACACCGTACATAACATCTTCTTATACTCCGTACGTTCTCTCTATCCCCGCACAAGACAGTATCATCCGCACCGCCTCCTCCTTCATCACTCAGCCGTCTCTTTTGAATCACATTTTACCTTCCTCTTCTTCTCCAGCCGCACGCCCGCAGCAGCTTACCATCCTCTTCAATACTTTGTGCTACTTCACCGCCAGAAAGATGGGTTATGCCAAATCCCATCTTTTTTTACCTGAGTTTCTTCTATCCGCTCAAACGGAGATTCGGATCCATCTTAAATCCAAGGCTACTTTTTTCACCAGCAGTAAATTGAATCAACCATTCTACCTCTATTTCTTAAATCACCAAATTTCATTAATTTCAGTCTCTGCCTATTTATTTGAATGATATTCCTGCTCAGAGAAGAAATGTAATATCAATTGATATTTTGGACATACATAAAATGGATTTCTGAAGACCTAGATTGGTGTACGATGGTGCAGGCACTGGGAACAATGACCTTCCTTCATTTTATATGCTCAAAGGTATGTCAACGGTTCCATCTTCAAGTTTTTTGGGTTGTGCTCTTTTATTATAAAATTTTGCTACTTTTTTAAGACATAATGTCTCTAACTATGTATGCACTCTTTGAAAATCTTACATCAATATGATACGGAGTAGTAGGGAAAATTCCTGAATTAGAACTAAAAATGTTTTTCTCCTATTTAGGGCAATTTACCTATGTTAGTATACACAACAAGGATGTATTTGCTCCAAGGTGGAATTAATACTTCTTTTTTGATTCTAGAAGATGATTTATGTGATTATTTGTTGTGAGCTTAATCTGAAATTTCAAAAAAAGATCACAGTTCATCTTACATATACTTCGTAGGTAATATACCAACTCAAAAAACATGTCGAAATCAATGAAGTTTTAAAGAAGATCAATCAAACACTAAGATTATAAACTATAGTGTTGGTTATTTTTTAAAAGCCGCCTTCCTGCGTCTGTCTACCGCAATTATTTGTTGCTTACAAACACGCGAATTTCATTTCTGACTGAAGATGGTGGCTCTCTTCAACATCAAAGCATTCCAATTTGACACGCCGGTTCCCTTCTTACCAACGGTGTCAGCTCAATTCAAAACCGAAGGAATTTCAGATTTGCTGAACCTGGAGTTGAGGTTAGAATTTGTTTAAAACTTTTTTCCCGCAACCGGCTTTTCCTGAATTTGACATTTTCTTTTTGGGTTCACGAGTGATCCAATTTCTGGGTCTGGAAACGTGCGAAATCACGCATTTTCACCAAGGTTAACAATCATTTCTGGAAATGTATTTGCTCCAAGGTGGAATTAATACTTCTTTTTCGATTCTAGAAGATGATTTATGTGATTATTTGTTGTGAGCTCAATCTGAATTTTCAAAAAATGATCAACAGTTCTTCTTACATATACTTCGTAGGTAATATACCAACTCAAAAAACATGTCCAAATCAATGAAGTTTTAAAGAAGATCAATCAAACACTAAGATTTTAAATTATAGTGTTGGTTATTTTTTAAAAGCCACCTATCAAATTTTATCAATAGTTGATATCAGTATTCTTAGTATAGTACTCCCTCCGTCCCATTATTAGAAGGTTCCCAATTTCCTTTTTGTTTGTTTTTATTAAGTTGTTCTTTCTGGGAATTGATTGTCTTGCGGTGGTTAATGACATGCTGTTAATTAATCAACTAATAGCTTTCACCTCTATATATGTGGATATTTTGATAAATATCCATATTTATTGGGTTAGATAATTTAGTTAAGTGTGTATATATATATATATATATATATATACTTGAACAACATAAAAATCAGTTTTCAAATTCGTATGAAGATTATGGAATAATTGTCTTCCTTTTCCAAAGCAGTTGGCCTCATTTTCAGCTTCTTTCCCGTTAATGTGTCCTTTATGCAAGAGCTGCATAAAAGCGCTTTATATCCCAGGATCATGGTTTGCTATTGTGTCCCTCTGGAGGTTCAATTTGGAACCATTTCTCATGTCTCTTATTAGAAAGAGAGAGACCAGCAGTCACTATTAAACAACAAAACATGAAATGGTGGTTAGGTGCATCAGGTAAAAGCATGGATGGTGTTTATGGCATGTCTGGAAAGCAAACTGGGATGTGATTTTGAATTATGTAGTTAGCACTGAGTCAGTTGTCATTGAGATCCGTAAGTGTATGCTTAGATTGCTTACTTGGAGCTTTGCAAATCAGAATCTCAAAGAAAATGAACGGTTCAAAGCAGCAGGGCTACTCCCACTCTTTTTGGTGTGCGCAGACCAAGAATTCACCGGTGGAATAGACCTCTTCTCCCACATATAGAACTCAACTATGCTATTTTTTCATCAATAGGTAAATCAGCGGTTGTATTTCTTCTGAGGGATCATTGTGGGGCGATGGTAGCTTTAGCAGGGCTTCCTTTGAGCGGGTCGACAGATTTGGAGGTGCTCTCGCAAGCTCTTGTTTGGACTGCATCTTTGGGGTTTGCTGAAATTGAACTGGACGTTTGTTCTTCCAGGTTGTTAAATGTATATAAGGAGTGCTCGGATGTGAGCATACAAATAAAAAAAGTTTCAGTTATTCTTGAGGAAAACAATAAGGCTGCGAAGGTGATTGCCACATTGGGTTCTCAAGAAACTGTTAATTGGAGTAATTCAAATAATTTCCCAAGTTAATGAACGGGGCTATTTTGTTGGACATAGCAGGCACTCGGCACTCCATATGTGATATGTGATATCCTAATTTTTACTTGGAGTTTTTTTCCCTTTATTCTTTACTTTCTTTTCTCTAAGGTTTATGGGTTTTGGCTTTATGTCCCCCATTTGTATTTATGATTTTTAATAAATAAATGATAAATATTTTTTTGGCATTTATCTCAATAATTTTGATGATTTGTCTACTGGGTTAAAAAAAAACTTTTCATCCCGTGCAACGCACGGGTGAAAAAACTAGTTGTATTACGTAATGTGATTACAATAAAACTGCCCGCACGGTACGTCAGTACGAATTTGAATACAATACAAGAGAGATGATTCTATTGCTAAGCTCTGAGTATGAAAATACTAACCCTTTACAATGTATTAAGCCCAGGTATTTATACTAGAGAGGGGATGGGTGAGATGGACACGTGGCTGAATCCGGTAGGCTGTAACATCTGCCACATTTGCACCCATGCCTCCACTTGCTACTGCCATGCTTTGACATTAAATGCGGCTTCCACTTGCTGTCAAAATCACCCATAATATCACTGTCAAAATTGACAGAAGAAGAAGAACCGCAGAGATCCTAAAGATTAAAACACCACTCATACGAGTGTACATTCCACTTGTTCAATAACGTGTGAACTTTCAATCAAACCAAGAGAAGACAAAGATCAAATCAAACATTGACGTGTTGTAGATCCCAATCGATCCACACAAACCAACCGACGGTGCACAAAACTTACATCTCAATTTTTAGCTACATCCAATCTCCCACCAAATTTTTGCAGCTAAAAATTTGCTAGTCATTTTGTGAAAATAAATCATTGTGGGCAAACTACATGCACTGGAAATACCACATGTCAGGGCAAGTGATTGCCTATCCCAAAGACTCAAATAGTTGGAAACAAATTTGCCACATAGCATGTTCACAAGAGAGAGTGTATTATTAATATTAAACATGAATCAGTTGTTCGGTCATTTGAGAAAGACGGCCAGTTCAGCCTTACTAGTGCTTACAACCATTCCCGAGTCAAACACCCCGCCACTTTCAGCCTTACCCAAACATGGCTTCCCTTCCCAGACAACCTTAAACGGTTCAACATTCAGATGGCTACACGCCGCCCCTCTATGCAAGAAAAATGGAGGATACTCAAAATCATTCCCTTTTCAACTGCTCTAACATTAAATTCATTTGGGACTACTTTTCTTGTATTTTGCATGTTAGGAAAGACGGATCATGAGGACCTACGTCAGACCCTATTCTTATGGTGGATTGGGGAAAAGACAGGTAGCACGACGAATAAACTACGCTAGGCAATGCCTGCAATCATTTTACACAAATTTATGGCTAACTTTTTTGGGGGAACAACTGGGGTCAAACCTAAATATCACTGAAAGAACAGGAAGCTCATTTGCAGATCATGAGATGAGGGGGGGGGGGGGGGGGGGGGGCTCAATATCAGATCCATGTATGACCTACAGGGAGCTTTGCAGCTAAATATTTGGTGGTCATTTTGTGAAAATAAATCATTGTGGGCAAACTACATGCACCGGAGATACCACATGATAGGGCAAGTGATTGCCTATCCTAAAGACTCAAATAGTTGGAAATAAATTTGCCACATAGCAGGTTCACAACATGGAGTGTATTAATATTAAACATGAATCAACTGTTCGGTCACTTGAGAATTGAAAGACGGCCAATTCAGCCTAACTAGTGCTTACAACCATTCCCGAGTCAAACACCCCACCACTTTCAGCCTTACCCAAACATGGCTTCCCTTCCCAGACAACCATAAACGGTTCAACATTTAGATGGCTACACGTTGCCCCTCTATGCAAGAAAAACCAGGATACCCAAAATCATTCCCTTTTCAACTACTCTAACATTAAATCCATTTAGGACTACTTTTCTTGTATTTTGCATGTTAGGAAAGATGAATCACGAGGACCTACGGTAGACCCTATTCCTATGGTGGATTGGGGAAAAGACAGGTAGCACGACGAATACAGTACACTACGCCAGGTAATGCCTGCAATCATCCTATGGTACGTCTTGAAAATTTACAACAATTGTGTTTCGGAAGACAAAATTTTATCAAGGACTCACATTATAGCTGAAATTAAAGAATTCACAAGGACATGGCTCTATAGCCATCAACATAGGTCATTCATTCATTTTGAAGAAGACTTACACTATGATGGACTCATGCCGATCATTAAAAACACAAACATTCATGGAGAGCTTATGTACCTCAAGGGCTCTCGCTAAACATTGACACAACGTTCTAGGAAACAAAAGCGCTGGAGGGTCCATTCTGAGAACTGCTTCCGGAGATCTGAAACAAGCTATGGTCTTTCCTCTTTTGTCAACAAACCCATTTGAGGCGAAGATATTGGCATTGAGCACCTCCATACAAGAAATAGTAGCAGGTAGTACAAATCATTCATAGTTTTAATATATTCAGAAACCAGTGTTGAATTAATTCAAGGGCTCACCACTGTACCTGGTTACCCTCAAGCAACCGATTGCAAACATCAACACCCTTAGAGTTTCGAACGACCTCACCATCGCCTTCTGTCATCTTCAGACAAAGGCAGTTAGTTTACTCGCACTTAAAAAGATGTAGTAATATAGGGTGTAAGTACGAGTATCGTCTCCACAGGGACGGAAAAAGGGAATTAGGAATTATCTAAATTCAGCGATGAACAAAAAATAAAATAAAATAAAATACGATGTGCGAGATTGATTGGTTTGGAGAATTAAAATGCAATTAAACGATTAAAAAGCTAGGTTCTTTCTGATTAACCACGAAGGGAACACAGATTGATTCAGGGGTAACCAAATTTCTGGCTAATCAGACGTAATCACATGAAAATTATTTAATTGAGCAACGTTGGTCAATACTAAGTTATTACCGCTCTCACGGTGTAGAGTACAATAATTTAGGGAACCAGACTGATCTCTCATGCGGCAGGTGTCTAAAATTATTGCCAAAATGAGAGAGCGTACGACCCGTGAATCATTACTAATCTCATAGTGAACGATTAAGTGTGTGAAGGTGTCATAGAATAAATTAGTTCTCTTTTAATTTATTCTACATTCAATTATAATCCTAATAGTCATTCTAGGTTACAAGAGATATCAATTAAATCATTCAAACACAAATTAAACAACATTCATGCAATTAATTCATCATGAACTTAGCCATACATCACGATTAACCCCTTCATCAACCCTAAATCCCTAATTAAGACTACTCACAATTCATAATTGAAGAATCAATAGAATTGGGATGAAAAGAATTAATTTTCATTAATTAAAAAGTAGGAACTTACAAATAATCCCAAGATCTTGAAGAACAAAGCGGAAAACAATGTAGAAATTCGTTCCTAGGTCTCTCTCTAAATTCCGTAACTCTTAAACAGGGGTTTAGAGGCCTTATTTATAGAAAACCGATGAATTCAACTTGAAATGGGCATTTCCGGGGCAGGCATAGTTCCCAGGCACGGCGTGCCTGGAGTCCGTGCCTCCGGAACATGCGCGAACTTCGGTGTCCGGCACGGCGTGCCTTCCCTCGCATGCAAAGTGTGCCCGACTGGCAGTAGCCATCTTACATTCTCAACCTTCTGGGCACGACGTGCCCGATGGCACGCACGGCGTGCCCAGCGTATTCCTTCGCCGGGTGCATTCTGCCATGCACGCATGACATGCCTCCTTGGCAGGCACGAGGTGCGTGGCCTATTCTTGGCCCATTTCTTTCGTTTCTTGCTCTAAATGCTCCCGATTGCTTCCTTGACCGATCCTAAAGCTCTTTTATCATCAAATCTTCATCGTGAATTTCCCGGTGACCCCCAAAGCTCTCAATTCTATTTCAAATGCGTCTTGACTCGTCCCGATTGCTTCCCAAGCACCGGTGTCAACCATCCCTTTTCATGTCGCTCATGCTCTCTCGCCGCTCTCTAAAACGAAGTTCCCAAAACCCTAAAATATTCTGAAATGGACACACACCTTGGACTATTATGTTGGGATGGAAACAAATATTCCCTTTCTTGGAATTTTGTGAGGTTAAAGGGTCTTCATGGGCCATTAGGGCACAATCGCTATGGCAAACTCTTTCTTTCTTTGTAATGTTTTTATATCTTGGTATCCTTTTGGTCTTTGACTTTTCTATTGTAATTTCTCATCTTTTTGAATAAATCCGGTAAATGTTCCCTGACATTTACCTTACCTGTTGAGGCGATTTTTCAGGGAAAAAAAGAATAAGAGATAATTGCCTCCTTGGAGAAAAAGTAATATGGATACAAAACTCACACGGAGCTTGAAACAGGACCAACCTTGACATATTATAGGTGAAGTAGAAATTTTAAAAAAGTTTTTTCAAATGCAAAAATATGATAGTTTTGAGATTATTTGTTCACAAATACTATCGTACATGGTTGTGTAGAAAACATTAAAAAAGTTCATTTATTCCACCAAACCTTCTCACATGGAGTTTTTTATGATGACACCCAAAGCTTAGTCACATTTGCAATTGCAATACACCAATATACATAGATTTAGATTTTTATAAAAGGAAAAAAACTAATATATGAGGTTCACCAAAATTAAAGAAGAAATCCAATTCTATTAATGTTTATTTCTAATACGTGGGAGGAGTTTTGGTATCTACAATCGATATAATCTTCTTTACCACTCATATATAAAGTTAAAATAATATGCATGCAGTTCCAAACCTCTTCATTTATGGGTGTTTTGTGTTGTGTATATATTAATACTCATATATAAATCAGAAATCCATGAAGCACAATGCAGTCTCAATGTTTCATGAGAAACTTGTTATGTGTGTGGTTATGTGCATGCTTTTTACTTGTTAGAATGCTTTTCTTATGCAATATTATATTTATTTTATTTTTTTGTAAGTTTGATCATTCTGGAGGTGTCTGATAGAATGAATTTTTTACTTTATAATGTTCTACTACAAACGTTTCCAATTCAAATAGCATTTTTTCTTGTATGGGAACCATTTTGTTGCCAGTTGTATTTAAATATCCACCTTATATCACATTGTTAAGTAGTTCTTGGATTTATAATGAATAATTTACGTAATTTTATTGTACAAAATACTTCAAAGAGATTCCAGAAAAAATACACACTTTAAGGCTGTATAATTTACAATTTTTACAATAAACCCATGAAAATGTTTGACGGATAGAATATGAAAACCACTCTTAGAGCCTTGCACATTTGGACGACTCCCCCATCAGATAGGTACACACACATACATACATACATACATACATATATAAGAACTCATTAGAGTTTACACTTATACACTCAATAAAGAATGAAACTAAATGGATTATGTAAGTGACACACATGGAGGACACCACTTTGTTTGCTTAATTTGTGGGAGGCGAAATAATCATTAGATGTGGAAGTTGAGGCGAGAAGTATAAGTAGCTTTAGGAGCCCAATTCCGAGGAATAACATCGCTTGCGGTGAGGGTGGCTCCGCTTGAGAGCGTCGTAATTTTTACTGACAATGGCCCTCTCAAAGGCCCGTTGAATACCCAGTTCGCTCCCCATAAGTGATTCATCTCTAGCCACTTTTTCGACCCTGACTGCACCCAATACATATGATTCTTCATTCATTTAATTATTCAACAGCTCTGCCTCTTGTATACGTCATTTTCATACACAGTCCATACACGTTGTCTATGAATAGACTGTTCACAGAAAACATACATTTTGTCTGTGAAAAAGCTATTCACAGACAAAAAAGACTTCACATGCGGTGTATATGGGGAATGTTTAGCAGTATAAACATGGTGTGCACAAATAGTTTTTTCTTTATTCAAATTAAGTAAGATATTGTTAACTAAATTCTCACATGCCAAGTTATACACGTCTTTTTATATGTGTGCACAAATAATATTTTTTGTTTTTGTCAAGTAAATTGTATGTGACACAAATCGAAGTGAATTATGTTCTGACACAAGCAAAAGTAAATTGTTTGTCTCACGGAAATTTCACTTTACAATAATTATAGTTACCTCTTTGATGTGCATGGATCCAATATCACCATCTCCGTTTTCGAACTCGACCAAAAGGGAAAGCCAGTAAGCAGTTGACCCCTCATTCACATGAAAGGCAATATTCTTTCTCTTACATTTGCACGGTGTCCTAACATGAGTAAGATACATCAATACGAGCACATTTACTCCATATGTTTTAACATTTAGTAGCATGTGAAATAATTACTCTACACGTGAAACATATTATGTATAGACGTAAAGAAATCTACATAGTTTATGTTGACTCAGTAATATGCACAGCATCACATTTTTTGAACATTTTACATGCTAAAATATACTACATAAAATATATCAGGTGAGGGCAATAAAATACGTTAGATGCATTTTATAAGTCAACTTTGTATCATTGCATAAGTAAATATTTCAAAGGGGAAAACAACCAAACTCATATACACCTATTTTGGCAAGTTTTAATCTAACTTATTCCTTTAATAGTATTAAATAAGTTTTATTTGTGCAATAAAACATGTTTAATAGTTAATCCTATTTTTAAACTTTGTTTATAATTTGATCTTGAGCAATTTCTATAAATATAGTCTTTCCGAATAATAGGGAGGAAGTATAATATAAGTATACAAGTTAAACAAACGCCATAGTATGAAATATTCCGTACGAAGTAATATGAGTACCTACCGTCGGTAAATGATGGGCATCTCACCACGGTCACGAAGGCTGCTGCCATGGCCAGTGATGGCCATGCGGCCATAAACGGAGCCACTTAGGTCGAAAAGCGGCCGATCACTGTAACGTTGGGGAGCTTGATCAGTTATAATAACCGTCACAGCCTTTTTCGAACAAATGGTATTGTCCAGACACTTGACCTTGTAACAAGCGCCGCAACCTTCTCCTTCCTTGAACAACGCCGGACTCACGGCCCCCACCCTCGCCTTAAATGGTTGTACATCCACCATTGTCCCGTACCCGCATGCCCCTCCTACTCTTCCATCAAATTTGCCACATTTTCAGTCAATTTTCGTACGATATGAAGCCCCAAGTTTTCACCTATTTTTTTTATATATATTACCCTCCCCGTCCAATTTTAGTTGTTTTACTTTTCTTTTTGGATTGTCCCAAAATGAAGTCCAGAGTCTTTTTTGGCAAGAAATATGTGATCCATATCATTCCACTTTATTATAATCAAATATCAGTTATCAACCACAACATTTAATTTTCAACCAATTTATTAATAATCGTGTCAAACTAAAACAATTTATGAATATGGGACGAAGCCACAGAGGCAGTAAATTATAAGTTTATTCTTCATGCATTTTTTATTTATGACATGTTCAATTTTACACTATTTACATGATCTACTGTGACTACATTTTATTTATTAATTTATGAGAATTATTTAAAAAATATTTTTCAATTCTTTTCATTATGAATTTTCAATATATGTTTCAATTTTTAAATAAATTATATCGTCGGTCAAAGTTGTGTGTCGGAAAATGTACAAAGTGGACCATCACTATCTAATAACTAGTAAAGAACTTAAGATAGTATCAAATAATATATGGAAACATGCCCTTCCTGCAGATGTACGGGATAATATAAGGGTGGGATATTAAGTGTTGGCCGGAACAATTGTTGGATATATAGGAGGAATACTCGAAAATATTATTTATTAATTACTCCGTAGTTGATATTTTCATATGTGTTCGTACAAGAGAGCTTGATACGCCTTGCAATATAATGGATCGTTGGAGCAGATCAATCTTTTGATCCGTGTGCTCGAGATATACACATGATCTAGTTTCTCGTTAGAGTTTAGTTATCTCTAATACCATACTAAGTCTTGGGGTTTCACTTAATAGACTAAACATGGTAGGAGACAGTTCAAAACTTTATATATATTGATTGTATTCTCAGAGTCACAGGTGGTCGACATCTGATAGCATAATAAATATTTTAAATATGTTTCTAGTCCTTGAAAATATAGTACATTTTGTTTTACATTCCTGTAACTTTTTTCTCCCCTGTAATTTATATTGGTTTCCTTTTTCGTAGATCATTGATGATAACAACCTCCTCTTGGTCTCAAAATAACTCGGATTAATAGTTTTTCTCTAATTGTTTGCCATGTTATCCAAAAAGTATTTAATTTTATTTGGGAAAAGGGTCAAATAGGCCCTCAAACTTACATAAAAAGGTCAAATAAGCCCTTATATAGGAGGCTATGTCCGGCCGTCGTCATTTGGGGCAGTTCCCGGTGTAATTTTTTGATGAATTTTTATAGCACCTTACGTATTAAGTCTAGTTTACTCATACCAAATTTCAGCTAACAATTCAATTGGATAGACATTCAAATGAATTTTTGAAGATAACTACGCTCTTAACTGCGTAGTTATCTTCAAGAATTCATTTGAATGTCTTCCCGATTGAAGTTTTAGCTGAAATTTGGTATGAGTAAACAAGACTTAATGAAAAAGATGCTCAAAAAAATTCATCAAACAATGTCACCGGGAACCGCCCCCAATAGCGACGGCCGGACAGAGCCTCCTATATAAGGGCTTACTTGAACTTTTATGTAAGTTCGAGGGCCTATCTAACCCTTTTCCCATTTTATTTTTTAGAATGTTTTTTTGAAACGTTAATACTTTTTTAGAATGTTTTTAATATATATTTTTAAAACGTTAATACTTAGTTTTACATTGTTTTAATTCTCATATTAGCCTCAAAAAATTATAAAAAGAAAAGTTTATATATTTATAATAGATTTAAGTAACTGACAATAATGTTTTTTTTGTAAGTAGAGTGGTTTCGGAATTAGAGATGTACTAAAACAAAATATTGCATATACAAGGATGAAAACAAATCTTACAGGGACCTAAAACAAAGTCTGTTATATTTGCATGTACTAATAACTTATTTAAACCTAGTAAATGAAATGTGTGTAAATAGTTTATCGTAGGAGTGGAGAACAATTTCATGCAGGCGATTGATTTTAAATAGTACTGATGGATTATATGGACTCCGACCCCCCGGTATGCCGACTACTAGGTCTGGACAGCGGCCCACACACGTTTAGCGGATATCAATAATATTATTGTACATTATTATTATTATTCAGATGTTCTAGATTAGCTTTTTATACTATCAGTCCATTTATGTAATCGGGTCTGTCAGGCCCATATTAGAGGCCCAGACCCGGATTTTCCCTATATATACTCCTTATAGGAGGCTTGTAACTCATATAACAAATACGATAGTATTATTTCATCCTACACATTTTCTTCTTCTTCCCCATTACTCCTTTTGATTCTTGTTCAATTTCTCCTGTTTATACAATATGGGTATCAATTATCCAACAAGTACCCAAGTCCTTTTTACACCTAGCGAAATAACTACCGGGAAGTCACTTTGACATTCCAATTTCCTCATTAAATTTTCACAACAGGGTTATCAAATGAAAATATTCGAAATATGAGTAAAAGCGTTTTCAAATTATGAAATATGAGTATTATGTTTTTATTTTCTAAATGTGAATAATTAATGTTAAGCTTGAGAAAGATTATCATGTTTAAATCTTAGTAATTATTAATGTCAAAACATAATAATAATTACTCACATGCTACATATTAGTTCTATTTTGAAATTTAAAAACATAATTTTCACCTCCAATTAGAGCAATTTTGTATTATCAAACCATAAAATACAGCTTATTAATTTTTGTTATGTACACATTGATTATTTTTTACTTTTATAGTACTTCGTATGTATTATCATTGATATATTGACGGTAGCTCATATTATTTGATGTTATTTTCCATTTAATATACGGAGTATTGATTTCATATTTCATATGAAACAAGATCTTAATCTGACACTAATTGTGTATAAAACTATTGAACAAAATGTATCTTATTTAGCAAGGTTGAAGGTTCTACCAGTACTGCCATCGCCTTCGGGGCTCCCGTACCAAGTCGCGGTGGCGTTATGCCACTTTGGATCCTTCACGTGCCGTAGGGAGCCAGCGGCAGCAAAAACTGTAGAGGCGGACACAACCAAACTCACCGCGAAAAAATAGCGAATTTCCATAATGATAATGGTAATATGGAAATTCGACAGAAGCCTCCAATGCCGTTATACAAAGGAACTACGAAAATCCTACAACCTCTGTTTTCATTCCATTCTCACCTTCTCTTGTTATTTTATTCATGACTAATTATGATACTTGTTCTATTTTAGGACCCACCTTCACTTTAGGCATTGAATTCGCAAGACATTTGAATACCGGTTATTTTTGGGAGGTGGCAAAGTTACAAGACATGGAAAATCATCGTGATCTATCTATTATTTCATTATTATACCCTTGAAAATATTATTACTAATTGATGACTTAACAATCCTCAATATCAATATGAAATATAATTACGAATGTAATTAACACTCAAGAGATTGAGGATTATCAAGGAATAATTATGAGTAATACGCCCCACAGTCAAAGAGGGCAACCCATGAATGCTGAGACTGGAATGGAATTCTTCAAATAAAAATTGCAGTAATTTGTTTTGAAAAAATATTTGCATATTGATTGCAAGGTGTGATATGAAGAATCCGGATTTGAGTGTGTGCAACCTTTTCACAAACAAAGTGCGACGAAAACAGATCAGATTGGATGAGACAAGAAATTTTCAGTCAAATTAAAAACATTTTAATATACCTACTGTTGGTCCCGGTTACACAAGGAAAAGTCTAGGGGTGAATAGACTGTTCTGGTTTTTAACTTTTTCAAATCTAAGTACCAGACTTAACAGAATAGTCTGTTCTTAAGTAGACCAGACTAGCAGCAGATGATCTTCTGGTAGGTGTTCTGTTCGGGCAGCCTAAAGAACTTACTAAGGCAGTTGGCCTTCTGTTAACTCTTAAGACAAGATATGTTGAACACAAAGTCCAAGTCTGTTAGAGTTAATCAGTTGTAATCTAAAGCAAGTATAAAGTGCAGTAAGTTAATGACACCAGAGATTTTTATAGTAGTTCAAGGAACAACTCGTTCTTCTAGTCCACTGTTCCACTAAGCTTGTAAAAGATCAAGTTACAACGCCTTAGTCCTAGCACTTAAGAAGCCCTTGACGTCTTCTTCAAGCCTAGTTGTCACCCAAGATGTTCTTCCTAGCTTCCTGATGACTGGTCTATTTTCACTGAGTCTCCTTGAAGTATCACCAATTCACTAGTTCAGTTACTTTGAGACTTTCTTCTTAAACAAGAAGATAGTTCGTAGAATCTGAGATTTTCTCCGATGTTTCTTCATACAAAAGATGTGTAGTTGAAGCTTTGGAAGTGTTAAAGAACTGGAGGAACTTTTCTCTCGGGTTGGATGATGAAATATGAGAGGTTTAATCTTATCCAACGTCAAGCTTTTTCTTGTTGAGTATAAGGAAGATGAGGTCTCAAGAATGTTGCTTGTATGAGTTTGTAGAGAGAGTAAAAGTTGTCCTAGAAGTCCTTCGAAGTGTATCATATATACAGAGAGTTGTCTTCCGGTTGGAGTGTAGAAGACAACTTCATTAAATGTTTGTGCTGTTGTTTTGACCGGTTGAATCCAAAAGTAGATGACTTGCTTTATTGGAGCATATTAAATAATATTTGCCTGGATCTTTGGTCAATCATCAGCTTTAAATATCTCAACGAGTGAAACTCATTAAATGAGCATTAAATGCGCATCCTGTAGCTTTTCCGTTGAGAGGCTCCTAGCCGTTGGGGGAATAATTTCCTGTTAGTTTAACTGGATGAGGTAGCAAGAGCTGAAATCTCTAAGTACGGTGTGAGGCCTTCTAGTGGAGCATCAGAGAGATGTTAAGTCCACGTGTGTCTTGAGCACTTCTGTCCAGTAGGGGCAACAGAAGACCTGCGGTCTTCTGACTAGTCGAATACACTAGTGCTTACACCTAGAAAAATTCTAATACAAAATTTCTAATAGGGGTACTCTAATATCCTAATCAATCTAACTTCATCAAAATATAAATACAATTATTCCTTACACATGCAACCAATATATGAATGGTATAGTTCTTCTTGAAGAGATTATATGTTCTTATTAAAAACTAATAAAGAGTTTTTTTTAAAAAATGTTACTAAAATAGAACTTATTTACACACATATGATTAATAGTTACTGCAATATTATAATATCATGGTAACTTAATCTTAAAAGTTAAACATAGTATACTATTCTAGTCACTACTCACATTTTTTAAACAATGTTTAATTAAATCATGTATATGTAATTAATTCAACTAATCATATACTAGCAACTATACATTTGAAATAAGGGGAAATAATAACTTTAACGAAAATAAGAAAAGTTATAAGAACAACTTTTAGACCTTTATTTTGAGGACAAATTAGGAAATTGAAGTTTTGGCTGGACACCCGCCGGTCGGGTATCTAGTCGGTTATCCAATCCTAAATATTGCAGCTTTAAAATAACTACATGATGCCCATTGCTCCCAAATTCAAATAATTATTATTAATGGTATTGTAACTAATAAATAATGCCTTTTTTTATAGATATTACACCCTAGTCCCTACTAATTATTATTAATAGTATTGTGTCCTTCGCTCCATCCGCTAGATCTGCATTGAAGATGCGACAATGTTCGTTCGAAACGGGAGATGGGGATCCACAACGTCTGTTACAAGAGTGAGATGGGCCAGAGAGCGAACCGATTAATCACATTTTGGAAAAACAGATGAGAGTCATATTTTTGTTTTTAAAGTGTGTAGGTAATATCTATGTGACATTTGGAACGTTACATAGAAAAGAATGTAGAATTGGAACGTTAAGTTACATAGAAAAGAATGAATGTAACTTATGTATACTTCATCTAATCCTAAATATGTTTTAATTCTAAAAAACACCAGTAATCTGTCTCAACATGAAACTCTTTGGTTAGTATACAATCCCGCAAGTAATAGGCAATTAATGAGAACAAGCCCGGCCCCCACCATGATTTAAAAGGAAAGCCAAAACATTCAGTCATTCCAGAGCCGGTCATGAGGCCAGTTGGCCTAGGCACTTGCCTAGGGCCTCACCATTTAGGAGGGCCTCAAAATTTTTAATTGGTAGTATTAGAAATGAACTTGTCTGGAAGTTGACTGAGGAGCCCCACACGTGAAATTGAGACGTCGTCGCCCAAGCTCCCAACTACCAAGACCGGTCATCAGCGAAGTGGCGACAGTGAAGTGTGTGAGACGGAAAGTCGGAAGACGCTGCTCGGCTTAATTTATTGTTTTCTCAGCAGCCATGTTCTTCTTCTGTAGTTTATTAGTAATATTTATTCCCGGTATTAGTAATATTTGTGAGTCTTTGGATAATAGTTTCTGACCTTGATTTATTTACTTCTTCAATTGGCCTGGCCATGAATTAAGAGCATGAGATTCAGAATTTTGCGTTCAGGAGTTCTATAGACTACGCACTTTTTTTATAATGTTGTTATTGTTCGTGAGTTGAGTTTTGCACTAATATTTATGATTCTAATTGAATTAGTCATTTAGTTGCTTTAAAAAAAATAGTCATTTAGTTGTTTTTTCTCTAATTTTTATAATTGTATATTTTACTTTCTGTGTCCCTTAAAATTTTGTTAAATTAAACCGGCACATGAATTAATAAAGTAAAAAATGTGTAATTGAGATTTGTGCAGAGGAGAGAAAATTAACTGGGACTACAAATTCTTACTTAAGAGAGAAAATAACAAAGTTGACAAAGTTTTATGGGACGAAGAGAGTAATTCAACAGTTAATTTTAGTTTTTCGTTGATGACTTCCGATTCATTATTATCTACAAATATGTTAAATGGGCAGGTAGAGGTATGACGGATAAACAAAAAATTTAGATCGAAAAATAAATTGAGAAGATATTTGAATATTTTTTTCTCATATGATGTTTGTTTATATTCATTTCGATGGGAGCCCAATAAAAAAAAATTCATTTTACCCTACTCTTTTAGGACTATGTCATGTATGTCATGTATAGAAAACTTAATACTCCGTATGTAATTATTACGTAGATAATTCACTGCTAAGGCCGCCCCTGAGTCATTCACTGCTGGTTTGGGGTTGTTTGTATGCATATATAAACTTTAACAAGGGTAGATAATTAAACAGGAACAAGGGAACATTACACATCCATGCCAATAAATCCGAAATGAGCTTACAATTATTACAAACAAGAAGTAGCCAGGCTGAAGGATCAGACCCACTGAAGCTAACAGCTAGCTAGCATGAATGGCTTCCACCCAGCACGTAGATACACACATTCATTAGACTTTACACTCACAATCGTTAAACTGAAAAGCTAGGCAGGAAAAGGTCGAAAGAAAGAAGCTCAATATATTTCTTATTCCTTTTAATTAAGTTCGTATTGTTTTGATGATAAAAGAAAGTAGGCATGCTAGATAGCTTAGCTTGTGCTGCTGGCCGGACCACCAAATTAAAGGCAATGGCCGGCTGCCCCGCGGCTAGAAGTTGCGGTCCGCAGTGTAAGTGGCTTTAGGAGCCCAGTCGTAAGGAATAACGTCTTTTGCAATGAGGGTTGCTCCCGTGGAGAGCGTCGTTACCTTTACTGAAAACGGTCCTCTCAAAGCCCGTCCTGCGTCGATTTTCCAGCTTGCTCCCCAGGACTGGCTCATCGGCAACCAGTCATCCGACCCACCCTGCACCCAACCAAACCAATGTGATACTACTCGTATATACGACCTTCTTAAGTAAATGTATGTAATATATTGAATTTTACACTATATTAAATGTAACATATTGTCTTCTACCATACTCTTCTAGTCTCAGTGTCTCACCACTTATTTAAAAAATGGGGGTAGTACTAATAGTCATTCATTCTAACTTTGTTTGCAGCATCTCCTACAGTCATAAATCATTACCTCTTTTGATGACTATGTTTTCCGGTTTATCGGACCACGTTTTCATTAAACATGTAATTTTTTATTTCGCGCACTAAATTGTGTAATAATAAGAAAATGTAAGGTTTGAGTTAATTTTTTGACTGTATTGACTGAAGTTACTGTAGATGATCATTTTAGCTATTTTTCATATAATTTTTTCTTTATTTTATTAATAAAATATATTTTAGATTTTTTTTATAAATCAGCATAATCAGACAATCCAGCCACGTAAGCTAAAACT